ATGATTATTTTACTGCAGTGGCTCATAACAGATTTAAAAGCCAAGTGGAAAACTAGGGGGATTTAATATTAGATTTGCAAAGGGCACCAGAGGTCAGAGGCAAGTGAGTGGGCTATCAGACTCTAGGGTGCTTGGTAACCCAGGGCAGATGAATGAGGGAAGCAGGACAATTTCCAGGTAAACAGCTTTAATGAGCATGATAGGCCCACTTCACCGACCAACTTGGAATGATTAGGACAAGGAGAAAGAAGATATAGGAACTATGAGAACTTCTTAGAGTGAAATCAACACATCTGACAGACTGGGGCTGTGGCTGCTAGAACCCTGGGACTTCCTGAAATCTCCTTCTGCAAGTACGAAATAGAACAGGAAGTATTTGGAGATACTTTCTGGTAAGCCACGATATATATACAGTACTCCTACATAGACTCCTAGCAGCAATCCCAGCACAAGGCTGGGAAAGAGCTGCAGAGGAGGGGCACAGCCCAGAGCTGGCTGGAACCTGCCCCATATGGGGACATATGGGGACAAGGCCCAGCCAGTCTCAGGGAATTCCCACTGGACACAGAGTTTGTCATCATGTGCATGGGGCAGGAGAGTTCTGCAGCAGCAGCTCTCCCATCAGGATCCCTCCCAGTGTGTGCTGGGCCAGGAGACAGCTCTCTGGACTCCAAATTTCTAGGATTACTGAATAGCTTGCCACTTTACCAAACAATATTTATTCATTTGTAAGCACTGAATGTAGATGAAATAAGGAGAATTTTATTAGAGAACTAGAACACAGCACCAGGTTGGGAAACAAGAACAACAATATATCTAAGTGAATGATAAATAAGACTCCCTGCAGTTACTTTAGCAGTAGTCTGTTATCTCAGTTCCATGCATGCTGGCAAGAGTATCCAGCAGCCAAATATTTAGTTACTTTCTAACTGCCCCCCTTCTTTTTCGTCTGCTGAGCAACACTCAGCTTTGTGTCAGTGAGTAACGGAGTCCCAAACTTCTAAAATGCCCTTGGGAGGGCCAGCCTCCAGTCCCTTTCTGTGGTACTTTCTGGACTTGTCCCATAACTCCAGCACCTCCAGCTATATTTTCTTTCTAGCAGGTAGGCGGGGAGAGCCTTGCTGAAGTCCACTTCACTCTGAGGCTGTTTTCAGTAACTTGAGCAAACTCTCTCAACAGCTCAAGTTTGTCACTAGAGAAAGACCAGCAGCCAGTGTGATCCGTCAGCAGCGTCCATCCCACAAAATATAATAAAATTTTCAGTACCTCACTTGCATTATGCTATCAACTCCGAGTTTGTTTCTAGTTACAATAACTCCCAAAATATTGCCGGCAGAATTCTGGATAGAAAACTTACACAAATTAAATTCTCTCAGAAGTCATATTTCTGCTGCTTACTAATAGATGGAGACAAAGAGCTCCTTCCTCCTGTCCAGCTCCAGGGAGACAAAGATGAAGCAGCCCTGAGGCTGTGCCTCCCCTTTGCCAACTACTGATGAGAAGAGAAAGTTCTTCACTCTGAAGAACTTCAGGTCACAGGGTTCACATAGTATGCAAGTATTCGAGACCCATTGCTCTAGATCACAGATTCCCAAACTTTTTCTTGTAGCATACCCCCTTCCAGATTTACCAGCTGCCTGCATACCCCTACCAGCATATGTTTTATATTTTAACCCATTAAATTCCAATTATTATTATTATTATGAAAATTAATTCTGCCAATACACAATTTCTTCCACGTACCCCCCAGAGCTGTCTTACCCCAGGGGCACATATACCAGTTTGGGAACCCCTGCTCTAGACTAATGTTATTTTTCAGAGCTAAACATTCCAGAGATTTGCAACATTTTCTTTCCAAATGTCTGTGTATGTAATCCAATAAATCCATGTAAAGTCTAAGACCATCATATACTTAAAAACATACCACATCAGAGTCAAGTTAAGATAAGACATCTCAAGTCTTGTAAGGTTTCATTACCTACAATGCCTTCTCAAAAGTCAATATACACAGTGGAGATTTAGAACCAGGAAAAAAAACAATGAGATTTACTCTGGGTATGTTTAATGAAATAATAACATTTACAACACCATCTCTCCAATAGCATCCTGGGTAAAATACAGCATATTACAATAGAAGGCATCTATGTTTTAATAGTTATTTAACAGTTAAATGTCTTGCTTAAAAAATTAACACTTTACAAAAATAATCTTTATTTCTACAAATAAGAATTTAAATACAGCATGCGTATCAGCCTTTTCCCTATAGGCTTTTCTTTCTTTCTTTCTTTTTTTTGGCAAGGTCATACATCCATTGGAGGCTTCTTTAAAGCTTAGGTAAAATCTCTGCTTTTGTGTCCTTTTCAATTCACAGCATCAAGGTTTCCAGTGTTAGAAAGCAAGTGACAGAGGATTTAACTATGCTGCTACATGTCTGTGTCATGTAATGGCAAAGGTTCTCCCCTTCACTCTGCAGTCTCTGACCCACATTGCAAATCTTGTTCACATATTCTGTGCTTTTAAGCTGCAATAAAGACTGCAGTTCAGTCTAAGCACGTCATTATTTGGGTTATGATTCTCTAGTGTCCAGATGCTTGAGCTCTCCTTACTAATTTCTATCTTTAACAAATTCTAAATATTCTTCATGCATTTCAGTCTGCCTCTTCATTATCATGTCATTAGCAGCACATATTTGCAGTAATTTTACTTTAGCCCACTAACACAGCAACCTTTAATTTCCTGCATTACCTCTGCACTGCAGATCAGAGAACTTCACTGCAGTTGAAAGAGAATGAGAATTTTAACCACACAATATGCACCATCTTTAAAATGCAAAGATTCATGTATTCTTACCAAACTATGACAGAGTGATTTCACTTAGCAGGTTTAATGCTATTCATTGGGCGCATCTACAGGTTCATTAATGCACCTTAGTTACTGTGCATTAAGTTTAGTACTTGGCTAATCAAGTACTAAATCAATGCACAGTAACTTGCACCACTGTGCAGTAGCGCCAGCACACAGGTTTTTAGTGAGGTTTACTACACAGTGGCTTAATACTACTGCACAGTAGTGTATTAGCATGGTTTTTGCCCAGCATGCTAGTGTGCAGTGTTATTAGACTACTGTACAGTTAGCGTCTCATGTAGATACACCCACAGGGTGTGTTATGTCACACTATACAGTACTATCTACCACAGTGGTCTCCAACCTTTTTAAGTAGGAGTTCACCTTTGACATTTAAAAGCAACCCAAGATCCACCATGTGCCACTGCCATCCCCCACCCCTCCCTGCCCAGTAGGTAAGCCTGTGGGGAGGGAAGTGGGGAGCAGATCAAGGTGGAGGGAGAAAAAATTATTTGGGGTGCGCGTCCCCAACAGGTAAGTCCCACCCAGCCAGGGCCCCACTGAACTTACCCCTGCTCCAGTACCTCTGTGGCACTGTCCCTCACTGTGGGGGCCTTGATCTAGCCCCCACCCCCTTCCCTCCCCCCACAGACTGACCTGCTGGGCTCGGGTGCACACGTGCATGCACCTAGACACTCAGCCCCCAACCCCAGCCTTGGATCGACTCCAAGAGGCTCCAAGATCTACCACAAGAGTCTTTGTGATCTACCAGTGGATGGAGATCCACTGGTTGGTGACCACTGATCTACCCCAAAAGGAAATTCTCAATATTTTAGCTTTAAAAATCTTTAACACCTAGAAATCAGGCAGCTTAATATCTTTAAAACAAGCATAACAACCAGCCCTCAGCTCAGTTGCTAAGAGATGTGGCTCACTACTATTTTAAACACTAGAAGATCAAATCAACCTGCTTAACTCAAGATCAATATTGCATTCATTAAGGGAGAACTGGATGAATGTAAAGGACTTCCACAATCCGTTCAAGTCTTGTTGAAGAAAGAGCTAACTTTAAAAGGGATAGAAAGAAGGGTATGTGTAACCACACAGGTTTTAAACACCTCCCTGCTTTGGCCAATATGGGAGAACGAAAGGAAAAGCAGCAAAAAATGTTATAAATCAGCATTGAATAATACACATACAGTTCTGCTTTCTGTTTGCTGTGCATGTAACAGGAAAACAAAATATGATGCCAAATAGGGCCAAATTCTATCCACCAGCATGATTAAGACAAGTAGCTTTGCCCCTGTTTCTCCTTTGAGTAGGATTGTTTTGCAGCTGCCTGGGCAGAGGTTTAGAGTCTCATGAAATTATTTGTAAATAAAAAGACAAGGTCCATATTTGCAATCCCTAGTCCCATTAACTTTACTGGAAGCATTATAGGAAAATACACTGCATGTATCAGTGTTAGGTCCACTGTTATGATGGACACTTCCTTTTCCCCAGATATGCCCCCAGTATAAAGCCCAAAGATTGCATGTAAACATCTGGATAAAGATCTAGTGTCTTGACTTCCTATATAAAATGTGCTATTAGTTGAATCCGGGAAAATTCTCTACCTGACTTTTTTTAGAGCAAAAAAAGTACATTTAAATACAATGCACACAATGGTAACCTCCCTTTTTTCATATAAAATACCAATATGTGTTATTTATTATGCACCAAGACTATGACAAAGTTAATACATGTCAGCATAAATAGCCACATTAGATATACTGTATTAATAATGATTAAGGTATAAGTATATGGACACATGCAGTAAAGCACTGATAAACAATAGTATTTAATCATCACAGGACACAGACATACAGATATCTGTGTATACTGTGGGAGATGCTTTACTTTAAAGTGCAGGTTTATGCTAAAAATGGATTTGTCAGATTATCACCTCTACATGTGTGCTTTAATGTTCATTAGCCTATTTTAATGTGCATTAAAGCATCACAAAAAATGGGCATGTCTACACATGCACTTTAATGTGCATTGGCTTATTTTAATGTGCATTAAAGCATCACAAGAAAGTGCTCTTTAGCTAATGTGCATTAAAATAGGCTAATGCACATTTTTCTAGTACCTCACAATGGAGATACTAGATTTAGCGCACATTACCTAAAGCATATTACTGAACATGTAGACATACCCTCACAATGGACGTACTAGATTTAATGTGCATTAACTAAAGCACATTAATGAATGTGTAGACACCATGTCTTATAATCAGGGCCTGCAAAATATCTTGCAGGAGGGTTCCTCCCACCTCATAAGATTGGACTAGATAAAATATGCTTTGCTTACAAGTGAAAAATTGATTTTCCTCATTATCAGCCTCGCAAATGCAACAAAGGCCTGAAAGTCATATGAGCTCCTTTATTTTCCCAGGGTATAACACCTGAAGCAGAGGCTTTGCAGGGCATATCATGGCCCTAACTTAGTCTATGCAATGCCCTGGTCTTCAATGGATGTTTTCAGAGGAGAACCATACTTTATATTAAACATTTTTACCCGAAGACATAATACTTTGCAACAGTTCTTCTGTTTGGGCGGAGGTCATGCTCCTGATCATACCTTCCACTTTGCAGAACATGGCAAAAATACTCCTGTTTTTACACTGAAATTTTACAGACCCTTTGGCACAACACAGTTAAAGACAGACGGGGGCTATTACTTCTCCTTACAGGTTATGTAAACAATCTGATAACACTTAGCTCCTCCGCAGATCAACAGGAATTCCTGTATCCAGATTCTTTTGGATATCAAAAGAGAGGAATCTGTGATATTAAATATTACTGGTTTTAAAAGCCAAATTAATTTGTCTGAAGTTCCAATTTGTTAACAATTTTGGAAGGGGAAATTCCAAATGGATATAACTTCACATTAATCTGAAATTCATGCTTGTATATTTTTAAAACACATGCTGATTCTACGATAACAATGTATAGCTCACTTATATACCACAGAAAGTATCATATAATGTGGATTTAGCATCAGCCTATTAGGGATGTACTTTGTTGTTTTCCTGTTACCTGTTGTGTAACAGGTTTGGTGACTGATACCATTATCATATCCAATAATCATTAAAGGGTATTTTTGTTTTGTTTTGCTGCTTCAATTCTATATCTCCAATGTAAAGTCTCACTAGAAATTTAAGTTTACCATGAAATGTAAACTTAAATGATGTTTTTCTTTAAAAAGTGCTGGCTGGAAAAGGCAAGTTATACACATACACCCCACCCCCCAACATGTTCTGCAGTATACACACATAATGGCAGATCCCACTAACTATATACTATTACAAGCTGACACTGAACTGAAGCATTAAGCTTTTTTTCTGGAACAAAAAGGTCTAAGTGAGATTTGCAGATCAATACTATCTATACTAGTAAAATTCCAGTTCAGCAGTGTTTTGACAGTAGAAATTAATGATCCTTTCTTATAGACATGCATATATTCTCACTTCAGCATACAAGGATTTATGAGCCTAATCCAAAACCCACTGAGGCTAATAGAAGTCTTTCTGTTGAATTCAATGGGTTTTGGATCCAGCTAAATATTAATTAGTGCCATTAGCAGCTGAAGTTGCAGATCCTCACACCTCAAGACAAAAATATACCCTGTGATATTTTCAGCCTCCCTAATTATTTTATTGCTGCTTTGTCCTAACTCTTAAGTGCACCTGTGCAAATATAAGTATGGAATGATAAACAGACTGTGTACACAGATTACATAAACTTATTAGCATTTGTATAAATGTCTTAGCTTTTATGAGCCAAACTATCATCTTTATGCATCAAAATAATTCACACTATTATAATGTATCACTAAATGAAAGAATCAAGTATGTTAGCACTATAATAAGCACTAGGTTCTTGGGGTTTTTTGGATGGGAGTGGTATATAGGTGTGTGTGTGTAGCTCTGCGATTAGTAGTGATATATTCTAATATTATAAAAGCCTACGTCTGTTTGTCTGTCCGTAATGCTTTATTCATGCTCTGATTGGCTGTCTTGGCAGCCAATCAGAGTGCATTACACAGACAGGGGCAGACAGCGGAGCACCACCATGACAGTGGGGACTGAGGGGCCAGAAGGGAGAGGGGCGAAGCCAGCGGAGTTGGCCTCACCACCCTTCCCTGCTCCTTGGAGGCAGAGGGGATGCTGGGGACTGAAGTGCTGCCATAAGGGAGGTGATGGAGTGGAGGGGTGAGGCCAGCAGCACTGGCCTTGCCCCCCCCCCCAATCTGCTTCTTGGAGCCAGGGCCTGGAGCCCTCTCCCCCCCGCACAATAGCCAGAAGAGAGGGGAGGTGGCGGGGAACAGAGGAGGGAGAGGAGCAGGAAGGGGAGTGGGGGTTACTGGTGGCTGCACCCCACTGCCACTGGGGATGCCGACGCAGTCACAGGCCCTGGCCCTGGCTCTGGCCCAAAGCAGCAGGGGGGAGGGGGGAAACAGCCCTGGCCCCAACCCTGACCCAAAACAGTGGGGCGGGGAGAGGGCGGGAATGGGAACAGCCCTGGCCCTGGCTGCAAGCAGTTGTGCAGAGTGGCCCTGACCCCAGTTCAAAGTGGTGGGGGGCGGGGGGAAATGGCCCTGGCCCCAGCCCCGGCCCCAGCCCCAGCCCAAAGCAGCAGGAGGGAGGTGGGGAATGGCCCTGGCCCCGACCCAAAGTGGCAGGGGGAGCTGAGGAGCAGCCCTGGCCCCAGCCCAAAGTGGCGGGCGTGGGGAACGCCCTGGCCCTGGCCCGAAGCAGAGGAGTGGGGGCTGTGAATGGCCCCAGATCTGTCCCGAAGCTCTCTCCCCCTTCCCCCATCATTCTTGACAGGCAATTGGCTAGTATATATATATAATGACAAAGTGTATATATTTACTGCTCATGTGGATTTTGGATAAGCTATGAGGAGCTGAGTAGTTCAAATGATAAATTTCAAATGTAACACCAACAGTACCATAAGAAAGGGGAGGTGAGTGGAGCACTAGCCCTGGGCACCAACTTGAGGGGGGCACAAAAGATACCAGACACCAGGCTGCTGGCCTGGCCTGTACTACTAGTCTGGCTGCAGCTGGTGCCCTGTGCGCCACTGCTGCCCAAGGCACAGAATGGCCCAGTTAGGTCTCTGAACAGCAATCTGAATTTCTAATCTGGTCTAAATTAAATGATGGGAGTGTCTAGGAAGTTCAGTCTAGCTTGCAGAGCCAGACCAAAGCATATGGAAAACAAGATATATAACTCAAAACCTATCAGCATAGAGGAGGGACAAAGTATTGCCAACTGTGAGAAGTAGAGACTGAATCCAAAAAAACACCTGACAGAGCAATGAATGGTGTAAACTCTGCTGCCTTTAAAAGTGCAGAAAGACTTCTCCTGTACTATTTTTGTTTTTTTTAACAAAGAGCAGAACTGAGCTTTTACTGTTTTAATGTAAGTTTAAATACAAAATACAGTCCTTCTGACTTTTTGCTATGAAATGTACCAAATCAAGGTTTTGAGGATTGTCATATCCATGTATCAGGATACTGTTTAACAGCTACTTCTATATATGGAGCTTGTCTGCCCTCACCTTACTTATGCTATTGTTGGTGTTACATTAGAAATATATCCTTTGAACTGATCAGCTCCTCATAGCTTATCCAAAATCCATATGAGCAGTAAATATATACACTTTGTTCCTTGCTTGTCATAGATATTTCCTGACTGATGCAAAGAAAAATGTATATAAGCCAAATTAAAATATATTTTAATGAAATATACTTTTCACTATTTCTCCTTTCCAATATATATTTACTATTCTGTCACACACTGTTTTGAAACAATTTTATAAATATATTATTTTTCACATATTTTTATAATACCGATTTGTACCACTTTATACTTAATTCCTTAGTGAATTACGTTTATTCAGACCTGTCACAGAAAAAAAAATGGAGACTGGTGAAATTCTGGCCCCAGTGAAGTCAACAGAGTTCTGTCATTGATTACAGTAAAGTTGGGATTTCATCAAGTATGTGGGTGAGCATAAAGACTTTATTAATTTATGACTCCATACGGCTAAATTCTGCTCTTGTATAAACGGATTTAACTCAAGCAGAATTTGGCCCCATATCTACCAAGAAGAGTCACAGCTTAAAAAGCTATTGTTTACACTGTATTTTATATATAAAGGCTGAGGCAAGCAGACAGCTCTGGATATACTATGAATGCAATGGGATCATCTGGGTTGATTATTACAGAAATGTTTTGGAATATGTTACCCTGGAAAAATGCTCCAGATCTTCTTTTTTCCAACAGGAGCATACCAAGAATAAAAGTACAGAGCTAAACACCACTCAGGGTCAACCTCAGGCCACTCTCTGGGACCTTTGAAAGGTACAGCTTTTCAGAAAAAAGGAGGCAAAACTCTGATGCGGTAAACATTTTGGGCAGAAAACGTATCAAGCCCTATAAATACATTCCATTTCTTGGTATTATGCAAGTGTGCATCTGAGATCAAGCTGACCATTAAAGAAGTATATGTAAAAATGTCAGCAAAGCACTATCCGGTAGTAGTTCTCCTGCAGAAACAGAAATATTTCTGTACGAGGTATATTTGTCTAAAAAGCACTTACATAAAACTAGCTGTATAACAATGTATGGTTTTTTTGGCTTTGGCTTTCCATTTTAATCCACTATTTCCTCATAAATATTCCTGGGAAACAAACCAAACTTACTGGAAGTTTTAGTCTCTGATGAAAAAGCCATACATATATGTTCATGTCATCCTAGTTCATCTCAATTCCCAGTGCCTGCTTGGCCATACAGTCTGTTAGTGTCAATCAGTTGGTTCCACACTGGGTACCAGCAGGCAGTTTCACACAGACGACCAGCAGGCAGGCACCAGCAAATAGACTAGGACAATGGAGACACCAGAAACTGGGAAAAACTACCAGAACTGGGATTCTTAGATTCAGTTTCAAGCCCAGCCCTGCTTTCTGCATGTGTTCAAACCTCCAGTGGAATCATGGAAATTCTGGGAGATTTAGGGATGCACACTGCCTCATCTCTGACCTAGCCTCTTAGCCTGCCACCGCTTACCCTATTTAGGATTCGGTACCATAGTATACCCAACTGCCTTCAGCCTCCTCCTCTCCAGCTCTGACAATAAACCTATCTTTAATGCCCCTTTAATGATGGTTTCTCTTGAAACCATCCCAGGCCTTTTTCTCACTATCCCCCATATACTCATTAAATATTCTTTTCCTCAAGCCAATACAACCTATGGACCTCCTTCAGTTTCAATCCTCAATGAGTCAGTACTAGTCTTTTTTTTAATAATAAAAGAAAAGTAAGGTATTTTAACTATAAAGAGATGCATAGGCTTAAATTATATGACTGTTTGCTCTTAGTATCCCACTTCACCCTTCCTTGTACCATTCAGCCCTTATTATTTGTTACCTCTACTCATGTCTATCCTAAAAGCAGAAAATAAAGGCTCTGGGACATGAAGCATGTGTCGCTAGGGTGGTCTGAAACATCTAGCATAGTGCTGTTAAAATGATAAACAAATTAAACAACAGTAGCAGACTACCTACTGTGACCAGGAAAAGCAGAAGCCTTAATTGTAATTCATTTAAATACTAGCTTTAAAAGCAACCCCTCTCAGACATGTGGAACTCCACTAATTCCAGGGAGGACATAGTAGTTTAACTGAGATCAGGAGGGAGCCTGTTAGAGGAAACACACGCCACCTTCAGTAGAAACCAGAAGGGTAGGCAACATTGCTTACTCTCCCTTCACGTGAATCCATGCCTGATATTCCCGTGGCTTCACTGGCACCATCACTAATGAATATGGCCACTGGAGTAGCAGTGGAAGAAGCCACCCAATAATTTGTAAAGTGAATTGAAACACAGTTCTCTGACCTAAACTGATCAAGGGAAACCTGAGTTTATCTACTTCCCTTACTGTGCTGGCTTGGCCAAATTAAAACACCTCTTTGCCTTCTTATCCCACTATTTATATTATGTGTTATTTTTCAGTTTTCCACCTATTCAGCAGAAATGCAAATGGCTAAAAATCAACATTTTCTTGGTTTCAATATTTGAAGGGAAATATCCCTTTATCAGCACAAGATGCATTAACCCATTAAACGTTTCCACTGTAAAAATAGTTTCAAAGTCTTGAAATGATTTGCCTTGGATTTTAGTTATTATTTCCTGAGAAATGTTCAGTTGCTGTCATTTTGCTGAAAAGTCACTTGACATTTCAGTGACACACTTATTTCATAAAGACGACCATCACTGGCTTAAAAGTATTCAGCTAGTACCATGATTATTTTCTGTTTAGTAATGACTGTAGGTCCTGTTTCTGAATTTACTTCTCTCCACCCCTATTGTTCAAGTTTAATACTAATCTTTTTTTTTTCCCTGAAATGACTCAATTCATATTACAAATGACACACTACACAAAAGGAAGTTTATACTCTTGTGGTCATGGCATTTGTGTATACAAGTGCTAACTACAAGTATGGGAAGTATAGGAAAGTGTGCACAATATCATTAAGAGAAAAACAGAAATCCCTCAACCTGGTCCTGTCCTTTCTTCCCTCCCTCTCTCTCCCCAAATCTAATAATTGTTTGTGTTCCAGGCAGTTTGAAAACAAGTGGTTAGCTGTGCTCCACAAACCCTGGCAGCTCCATTCCAGTGTGTACATTAAGTACTCCAGCCTTTTCCAGAACAAAGGCAGGGTGAGCATCCTCGGTAAATTTGTGCCTGATGGAGAACAGCACAAGTCCTCTCTCTGCATTGAAGAATAAAAGTCTCCCAACATCATAATCCAGCAGAATGCCAACCCTGGTTGGTGGTTCTGTCACATGAACGGTACTCATTATACCATTGTGGAAGAATTTATAGATGAAACTGTAGGTAACAGGAAATAGAAATATAATGAGAATCCATGCTACAGATTATTGGAAATAACCTGCTATCATTGTTATTGTCTAGGCCTTAAAAACTGCTGCCACTTGTACAAACCTTTATAAAGTGGGCCTTGTCAAGTATGAAACCTTGCTACACTATATGTATATACTGACCTCTATGCGAATGAACCTCTTCACTAGTCATGCAGCATCTCAGAACTATCTTTCAATAAAGAAAAAATACTTTCAATTAAAAAAAAATCAATGCCCCCTATATTATTTCATGATTGTCAAGGCCAGTTATGATTTCATAAGGACTTCAGAGAGCTTAGTGCATCATATGATCAATCCCCGTTTTTTTCAAATATGCTATTTAGCTACCTGCTGTCCAGAGTCAAGATTAAATAAAAACTATACTATCCAAAGGCCAGCAGTGTTTTTACACGAATAACATGGTTATGTCCTTTAAAGCACTAAGTGGTCTGGGGCTGGCCTATCTGAGAGACAGCCACTCTGTTCATGCTGTACTGCCACAACTACTGGTACACTCAAGCTGGTTTCCCTTTATTATAGAAGACCAGAGATGTAACAACCAGGATCTCTACCCTGGGTGGCTGTGGCAGTAGCAGGGGACAGGCTGACTGCCGTGGTTGGGCCGGCAGCAGCTGCAACTGCCATTCTGCTGCTTCTCTAAGCACGTTCCCAGGGCTGAGACCCCAGTTGCCCAGCACTCATTATGGTACTGTACAAGTGAGAGGCACCTGCCAGGGCTTTCTCTGTGGAAAGTGGGAGAGTGGAAATTATTCCCCCTTCCAGGACTAAAGTAGCCTGAAGGTTGTGGCCAGAATGCTCCTACAGCCATTTTGGGAGTGCTGGGGATTATATTCCCAAAATAATAAGGGACCAGGAAAGGAGCATTTTTGTATCTGTTCAGCTGGCTGGATACACCGAGTTGTGTTCACTTGTTCCTGCTGAATGTTTGCTTTCTGATGTGAATTGGTTATGGTATGATATGAACAATTAAGCTTCCAGTTGCCTAGCTCCTCCATATAAGGATTTTTTTCATAATCACTTAAATGTAACGAAATAGAAACAAACGTGTCTTGTCTTTTATCATAAGTAGTAAGCCTTGCCATTCAAGTAAATGGCACAAAACTTCACAAGCACCTTGGCCAACTCAGTTTTACCTTGTGTGAGCAGAACAGCAATATATGCACCAAGACGAGTCACTCAGGCCCAGGATGCTGCCTTGGGGTGTGGAGCTATAAGAGATTCCAATCCTGTAGCTACTGCAGGCGCTGGTAGTGGTTTCCCAGTAATGGAGGCCCCGAGCAGGCAGCAGCTCACCCAGCACAGATGGAATTCTATTGGCGGAGAGCAGAAGGCAAAGCTAGTATTGCAGCACACCGACTGCACGATGTCATGCTTTTGTTGTTGCTTATGGTCATTTTCAGTTTGTTGGGAAAATGACTTCATTCTTCTCACTCAAAATTTTCACCATAACAGACCTTAGTGACTCTCAGCAAAAAATAAGCGTGACATTATTTGCACATTGAGGCAGGCAGACTCTTGAGAATTTAAAACTTACACATTATTCCAAGTGATATGACATCCAGTAAGAGATTCTCAAGGAGGTAGGATACCATTTTCAAGAATGTCTAAGTGATTTTGGAGAAAACCTGTTCTCTGAAATGACCTAGGGACTAAGGACTTGTCTATACCAGGAAGTATTGCCACTTTAACTATCCTATAATGGCAAAATCCTCTGGTTCAGGCACAGCTATAACACTATGCTGGTGCTTACACCAGTACTGCTTTTTTCCATTTTGAGAAGTAAAATAAGGTGTATTGCTACCTAAGCAGCTGTTCTTGAGGCATGGTCAGGGTTGAGACATACAAGAAGAGAGAAAAGCTCCACTCTATAAAGAGCATGTATTAAGAGATAAACACACTACACTAACAAGCAATGTGTTAATGATCTTGCTAAGTGGATGCTCTGTCCCAAAAAGTGTTGATCAGACAGCCCTTAGGGTCCATGGGACAGCATATAACCTCAGCGGTCTTGAACGCATGTCCAACCACTTTCTCTACACTCCTTTATTAGCTTATCTGCTCGAATGCTTAAACATGCTTTATGATAATTTTCCTGTACCTATTGGCTTAAAACTCTACCTTTACACTCCCAATTATGTTTCACTCATGCCCATACAAGGTAATGTTTGTTACATCTCTTTCTTTGCAAAACAGGATTACAAATTTTCATCTGAATTTAGCCATCTCAAAGTTTTAACCAGGCCTGCAAAGCTAGAGCAAAATTACTGATAAGCTCAGCTTTTCTAATTCACTAGGGCCTTAATAAACTTCTGCAATGTAATGATGAGCTCAGCCTTTACTAATCTTTGCTGTGGAGAAGGGTGGAGACATGGAAAATGTGATCAGATGCTGACTGCAGCTTTTCGGCCTACAGTATTCATGACACCAGTATATCTGGATCCACTCAATGGCTGATATCAAAGTAACAGTAAAAGGTGGGGAAATGGCATTCCTCAATGACATAGCTACCCTAGTGCAATTTTTCTAATGTAGATAAGCACTTAAGAGTCAATGTGAAAATAAGGCTGAAGTTTGGTCTATACTACAAAGTTTTGTCAGCATAGCTTTGTCAGTAAAACTCCAATATGGATGGAAGCACTATGTCAACAGAAAATAACTTCTGCTGATTTAGCTATGATCATTCTGGTGAAGGGGAGACAACTATGCCAGAAGAAAAACCCCTTCAGTTGGCATATGCCCCATCTCCAAAGAGAGTCTCTGCTAATGTAGCAGTAGCAGCTCAAGGGTTTTAGGCTTAGATATAACTTAGGAACTTTTGATAATATTATCCATAGTGCCCTCCAGCAGGGAAGCAAACTAAGATGTCCAGTCATTTCTAACTATGGTAAGAATAGTTCTTCTTAGGGCAAGAACAATGTTTAAGGTAGATGTCCTTAAGACCACAGACAAGAGCAAAGCCAATCAGGTAACTTCTTTTCTGACCTGCTAGCAGTTTGATTTGCCATGGAGTTATCTCAGCACAGCCTTGAACTCCTTGCAACATTAAAAAATGTACCACCATTACTGACATTGGTATTTACTATTTTCTCCGTTGTGTGCCCTCAGCTTTATCAAAGTGGCTGGATAATCCAGACAGGTTTTCTTAATGTGAGGTTATAATAGGTTTTGTCAGTTTTCCACCTTTGTCTTTCTCGGCGTTAAAAACCACAATATAATATTTTAAAAATATATATTTTGTCAGAAACTATACCCCAGCCCTGCATGCGCCAGAGGTCTTCTAAGATTCTGAGCTGAAAGGGTTGGGACTGGGGCTTGATATATTGAAGTGAGCTTGATACTTTAACTTTGTACTTCTTTGAGCCATGAACACAGTCATGGGTAATAAAAACAGTCTTCAGCCTGCTTCAGCTTAAACCAGACTGCAATAAAAGAACAAAAGGATGGCTTATGCCAGATGAACCAGAAAACCTGGCCCATTTCCTCCTGTGTTCAGACAGTGGCTAGCACATTGTCAGTGCTAGTCTGGCAATTAATAAATATTACACAACAAACAACAGCAAGAATGATTTTTTCTGAATCTATTTCCCCAGTTTCAATATTTGTGTGGTAGAGCAGCCAGGAAAGCTTGCTGAACACGCAGAATGATTTATTAGAGGGTTTAAAAAAATCAAATGTCATAAGCACATACAGTCTGAGATTGGTGCTTCTTGCTGTGGCACAAAGGAGTCTCATTTGGGGGATGCAGTTGTGATGGTTTTACTGCACAGCAGAGCTAAAATCATTCAGTGCCTAAAAATGAACTGTCAGAGGCAGAATGAGGTAGGGTCTTGCTCTCAGCTACAGAGACCTTCCGCTCACTCCAGCAGCCGTTCAAGTCCTGCCTTCTTTTTTCTCTTATTTTTTCTTCAAGGAACATACTTTGTCTCTGTTCCTTCTGGATTTGTCATAGGGTTATTATGAGGTTGGGCCTGGAGTAAAGTGTACTCCCTAAGCAGTCCCATTAAAAGGCAGTGAAAGTGATCCCAACAGTAGAGCTTTTTCAAGAGGAGGAGCTCATTTCCTCAGGCAGACCCATCAAGTAAACATAGTTTCCCTTTTTAATTCCTGGATCAACAGTCCTGAGGATCCATTGGTTGGCTACAGGACCGGTTTACGCTGCAAGCTGTGTTTAAGGCACTATATTAGATGGCCTTGGCCCCCATAAAATGCTCAAGCAGAGGTGTGGTTGAATTAAACTGTGCAGAACGACACGTGGAAATGTCATAAAGAGATTTGTGCCCTGTATAAAATAATCTCAACAGCATTATAGAAAACCTGACATCATTTGAAACTTATCTTTGTGTGTGTACACTAGTAGAGGTATAATTCCTTCATCCTCCCATAGAAGTTTTGTCTGAATACGGAAAGTAAGCCATGATCTTCCATATCAATTCCTCACTTACAGCTAAGTAAAGACAATGTTCAATATTGCCATTTGATTAAACATTTTCCACCCACTTGGTGCAAGGAAAACTCTTTTTGTGCAAAATAATAGGAATGGGTTGTCCAAATTCAGTTTTTGTACCACTTTCATCAAACCAATAGAAAAACTGGGTTAGTTAAATTGCTGCAGTGATACACAGTAGGGCTGCTCAACCCCCACCTGGATCTAAATCTGACTTGTGGAGCCATGTTGTCTGGCTCATGGACTTTCCACAGTTCCAAAACTTTGGCAGTGGAGGAGCACTTGTAGTTAGTGTTAATTTGTGGTCCCCTGCTGCCAAAAGTCCAGACTCATGGGGAGCCCTGCAGGCTGGATAACATAGCTCCATGGGCTAGATTGCAGGGTTGGGCCAGCACAGGTCTAACCAGCGCAGAGCCCGATCTGGGCATATGGGGCTGAAGCTGGCTGCCGTGAGGCCCAATCCAGGTGTGAAGGGCTGGATCCAACCAGCATGGGGTCAATCTGGGCTTGCAGGGACTGATCTGGGTATACAGAGACAGATCTGGCCAGCACAAAGCCAGTCTGGGCTTGTGGGTCCTGGCTGCTGTGGGACCCGATCCAGGTTGAAGAGACTCAATCCAGCCAGCATTGGATCCGATCCAGGCATGCAGAGTCTGATCTACCCAGCATGGCGCCTGATCTGTAGGGCTAGAACTGGCAGTGCAGATCCCAATCGGGGCACGGGGAGCTGGATGATTGACCCCTGCAGACTAACCCCATGCCTCTCATCCATCCCACTGATGGGCACCATGCAGTGCCAGATTTAGGCTTAAACTACGTAAACTATAGCTTAGGGCCTCACAATATGAGGGGCCTCTAAATAAGAAAAAAAACCCTGACTCAATATCAAGTTTTATAATAATCAGCTGGCAAATAAAGGAGATAAAGGAGATATGGGAAAATGACTCTAAATATGGACATTTTCATTCTAATATGACAAAAATATACATATATATGGCTTCACAGTTATTATTCATATTGAGTTCATAAATTTGTTCAGAAATAACAATAATTCTTCTTAAAATTTCATGAAAATCCATTTTCGTGAATTTCATGGATTATTTTTATTGTATGGGGCCTCTTAAGATGGACATAGTTTAGGGCCTCGGCATATCATAATCCAGCACTGGCACCACTGATCCAGAGGGCAGACAGTCACTTAACGTGAGGGGTTGTACCAATTCAACTAAACCCACTCTTATACCATTTCAGTTCAATTAGTGTAAAAAATGTTTGTGGACTAAACAGAAAGTTTAGACCCAATATTAAGACATCAAAACTTCCAAAGTTGGGATTCTGATACTTACCCAATGAATTTAGTTTTCTGGGGAAGGCATATCACCATTTCATCAGACAACACTTGCAAAGCAGGATGAACGGTGTCACTGAGAAAGTGAAATCTAGTTCCTGTTGTGATTCATAACAGAGAAACACCAGTTCAGAGATGATTGCAGTGTTCATTTGAAATGAATTATAAAATCCCTAACAATGTAACAATTATTCCAGCCTAAAACTGATTCAGTTCTGTTTGCTGGCAGGTAGGAGCAAGAACCTGAATGCTGTACCCCTGAGCTTTATTAGCCTCTTCCTATACTCAATTAACATCAGATTCCTCCTCTTTTCATCCTGGGAGGAGATGTATGTTAGTACTAAGTCTTTAATCAGGACTTATACCTGTAGCAGCAGGTATCAGATTTCCCTGCTTCACACCCTCACACCAACCAATATAACATAGCAAGAAGAGTAGAAGCCACCAGTACTGACAAACAATTAATTTTAGTAGTTTCCAACACTGCTAAAGACATTTCACAAATGAGAACCCAGAGGTTTTCAACTTCAATAACTTTTTTTTTACTTAACTAGTATGATGCAGGTCCCCCAAACTATAGCAGAATCTTAAATCTGGTGTAGCACATTCAAAAATATTTCCTGATTGTATATGTGAATCTGCCAGAAATGCAGAGGTAAACACAGAGACAAAAACAGAGACACCCAAAAAACCTGAAATACTGGATATCAGGTTTGTTGTTGTAATTATTCTCCAAATGTCTTTAGTAATCTTGTAGCCAAAATCCTTTCCAGTTGCAACGGTAGTATTATGTCAAACAGGTCTGGGGTCGTAACAGAATAAAGCACTTCAGCAAATTCACCATGCAACAGGAATTCTCCTGACATTAAAAACCATTTGAAATGAATTATTTGCTAAACTGATATAGAGTTTCTGAGGCTTATTTGAATGAGTCTTTCATAACTTTTCCTGAAACATTAGAGCCAAATAGTTAAAACATAAATAAATAAATGGAACCACAGATTTTCAGCTGTGTTTCAGGTGATTCTGTATAATGTGTGAATGAAATATTTTTTTGGTATATGCTAAACTGGATAACGCCAAACCATACTCATGTAAGGTGCCTAAAAGGCTGAAATGTTCACTGTTACAACTCCTAAAATGACTTATGAGTGGACAGAGGTAATGAATGCAGAAGTATTGTTCATAGGAGCTCTCCATTCTCAGGGGAAATCGTACAAAACTAAAGAATGATTTTGAGATCACACCCGTATTATTCTGGCATAAATCCATTCACTTCAGCTGAGTTATTTCCAATTTATATTAATGTAATCAGATCAGAATCAGGCTAATTATGCTTCCGTAAATTGGTTACTTCTGAAAATCAAGGTTCAGTGTTAAATTGACATGATGCTATTTTTGAATGAACCGCACCTCCACACCATTGTTTTAATATAAAAAACTGTGGATCTACCTTTAGTTGAAATGAGGGCAGCTTCACTTTGTTCACTTGTCCCAAAAGAATTGGCAGCTCTCACATAGAAGAAATAATTCACATTGGGTTGCAGGTAAACTTTCAGTTCAGGCCTTCTTATTCCAGCGAAAGATCTAAATATGTTCAACAAGTTTCATAAGTAAAAATGCATACTAACATCTACATCAGAAAATGACAATTTAAATGAATAGGTAAGTTACCTTAGATACCTCATACTATCTTTGAATGTTCCAGTGGTAGGCAGTGTAGAAAGACAGAGCTGGAATACGGTACTAGTAAATAGATGGACTGATCTTTCTTTTTTTAAATTCAGATTATGTGGCATTTCTGCAGTTTTACCTACAATTTTTACTTACTTTATTTGCTCCTTTATTGGATTATATTATTTTAGATGACTAGATTCTGTGTTGCCTTGCACCTGGTATAGTCATTTAATCTATACAAATCTCATTCTAAGTTAGGAGCATTTTACAGCCACTTTGTATTCACTTGCACAGATCTAAGTGATTCTATCAGATGCACGGCAATGGAGACTCAGCCCTCCTGATTTTTGTTGGCTGCTAAATGAATGAGTTAATGAAGAAAAAGAACCTTTAATAAATGCAGCTGCATGAGAGCAAGGAGACCAGAATGATTGTGGAGATCCCACTTGCAGAGTACACACAGAAATGCATGCTTCTTTTATTGTGGGCTCTTATTTTCCAAATCATTCAACAATACAAATTGGGATTCTCCTCCCTTCCTGCGCAGTGCATTTTAACTGCGCAGTATTAGGAGAGCTGTGCTTCAGCACAGTGTCCTAGATTAGCTGATTCTGCCCATTATAGGTCCTCAAAAGCTGCTGCCCTCACCTCCTCCACTACAGGCACCACCATTATGCATTACCAGAAAACTTCTTCATAGATGCTTTGATGTTCTGCTGAAGGCACCACACATCTAGAGAAATGCAGACTTGACTTTATATTGTGCCAAAACTGAATTGGACTTACTTTGCATTTACTCATTTCCTGGTTCCAGATTTTCAAAACCCCACATAAGGGGTGAGCTGTAAAGAATATGCATATACCCACTCAATGCATGAAACCCAGTATTTGAGTGCTCAGTGAGCATCAACCTACATAGTTTAAGTAATGTTGCCCACAAGTACCAGTTGGCATGTGCCACACAATTAGCCAGCTTTCAAGTGTAAATGCAGGTGGTTATCTTCAAATGTCTGCCCCTTTGGGTAAAGCGTGCCCTCTGCTCCATGCAGTGAGAAAGCACCTGCAGCGGACCATGTGCTTCTGCTGTACAAGGACGAGCAGGGGTTTTATTCTGCACAAGGCCCTTGTGTAGCAAATCCCCTGTGTGTGGAGAACCATAGAGGGGAACTCCTTGGGCAGGTCCAGATGAGCATTCATATGCGGTATGCAGCACTGCAGATCTATCTGCAGCACTGCACACCGCACCTGCCACACATTCAGGCGTTCCCTGCATCGCTAATTTGCAGTGCAGGGTGGGGTTTTGACACTGGGGGATCCCTGTGTCAAAAAAAACACCACCTGAAAAAAGCAGGGCAGCCCACATGGTAGCAGCGTGCACGGCCTGAAACTGGAGTTTGGCTAGCCAGAGCCACACTCTGGCTGCTGGCCAGGCTCTCTGTTGCTGGATTGCTGCTGCTGGAGCCCCGGGAAGCCCCCCAGATCCCAGTTAAGGCTTCTGGAGCCTCAAGTGCTGGGCCCAGCCTTCCCTATCCCACTCAGGACAACTTGCTGCCTACCAGAGTACACTTGCATGGGCTTTCCCCAGGGACAAGTAGCAGCAGCACATTTGCTGCTGCTTTGTCCCTGAGGAAAAGCATGTGCACACTCATCTGGATACAGTTTTTGTCTGCCTGCTTTGTGAAGTTCAGAGAAGTGCCCTGAGCAGGTCTCTTTAGCCACCAGACTGTCAAAACCTCCACAAAAACTCTGAAGCTTTCCTGAAACATGGAAAAGTATTTCATCTACATACAGCCAAGGATTCCTCCTTAGCTTGACAGTTACTACACAATTTCTCAGCACCCAGTCTGGTTATTTAGGCCAGGTGCTAGAGCCTGAACTTGGAGCAGATCAAAATTTTCCTCCAATGGAAGCCAGGAGAAGATTCTTTACTTGGGACACTGTCGATTAGACCAGACTGCTTTCAGTACCGTAATACATACCATTGCGCTGGAACTAGAGCACCTTTTCCAGCACTAGTTTGCCTGATTTCATATTATATCAGACAGGCAAGCCCTGTTCTCAAGTAAGACCATGGCTGTCGATTTACAAAAACTGTTTTTCCCCAGATGCTCCACCAGAGAGCAATACAAACTGAAGAATGATCGGTGTTTGACAATTAGGATTTTTACATCCATGCTTCAGCCTTGTTTATCAGATATGCACAAAGTCCAGCAGTCCTCACACATTCCTGACTAAGGCAAACTCCAATTTGCTTCAAAGGGAGCTGTGTGTTGATAAGGAGTTCAGGACTGCCACCTACAGCAGTACTAGCTAATTTGTTTCAGTGGCTGCATCACACAGTTTTTGCAGTGGTGTTTGCTGTTTAAAAAAGTAAGAGAAAAATCAGTAAGTCCTTCAATAGGACTTCCAATCAGAAAAAAACTTCAAATAATTTAGAGTTCTTATATTATCAGAACCTCTTTATAACCTTGTTAATGAATGAAGGATACTAATAAGCTAAGCTAAACCTGATGGAGAAGAGACCAATTGCTGTTACCAAGTACATGACCAAGACCTAGAGTCAACGAGGTATTTAAGCGTGTATTTAACTTGAAGTCACAATGGTGTATGGTCACTGGAAGGTTTTGTGGAAATAGTGTCACTGGAAGGGGGTTGAATGAGGACGTGGTGGTCTTCTGACACGCAAGAGGAAAGAGGCTGGCCCAAGTATGGGGGAAACATGGAGAAAGGGATTATAAGAGTATAAGATGAGAAGTGCTCAGAAGAGAGGCTGTGGAAGCCCAGATTCAGGGAGAAGAGGAGCTCAGGAAAGTCTTGAAGTAAATTCTCCAAACTTCCTAGCTTGAGCAAGTTAGGAGCTGGGGTACCCGGTTATATTAAAATGCTATCCTGAGATCCCTCTATTTTTGGAGGTGAATTATGCTGAGTGTTTTGCCATATAGTCCCTGTTTAAAATATGTCTGCCCATTTTGCTGATGATTGGAAATGTGGCAATGTTATTGTATTCTCAGCTGATGAAACATCCTGGCCCTTTTCCAAAATGGTTTTATTTTTAGGTTTCACACTGTCCCTACAACACATTTGTTGTCCCTACAACACGTTTGTAACACGATACAACATGCAAGGAACAAAAATTGAAAGAATGCAAGATGTTTAATGTTTTTTCATTTTCTTTTCCAGTCTTCCTCTTTAGAATGAGAAATTTATGAGTTTCAAAGCTGGGCTCTCCATTTCATGCACTATATTTATCACTGTTTGAATTAGAGGAGGAAGGAGGCACAGTATCATTCACCTTTAAATTGGTGAGCAAGGTTCTCTCACCTGAGTCTGACTGATGTGGTTCAATGCTTGTAAATTGCCTATCACGTTAGAGATTTTCTTGATTCAGGGGAAATCTGATTTTTTCCCTCCATGCCAATAATTTAAAGGAATATTTTCTAATATAGCATAAGCCTAACATAGCGCATACGAGTGCCCTCAACATTGTAAATAGCTGTTTTCCTTTACAGTAATCCACCAGTGACACCTTACATCTAGAGCTCTGCTGTCATCATTAATATTCAGCAGACTGGGCATGGTGAAAATGGAGAATGATTGTGTGGCTAAAGCAAAGGCGAAGGAATCAGGTGATCTGAGTTCCATTTTCTGCTCTGCCGTGATCTCCAGAACTCATTATTTTCACAGGTACCCCGTCTTACATTTTGACTTCAGAGGAGTTATACTTTAGTTACCCCAGCATAGCTGAAAGCAAAAATAAGCCCTTGGTGCATGATTTCATGCAAATAACCTAAGATCACATTTTAAAAAATATCTCTCAATTAAGAAACCCTTGGCTCTTACATAATCCCTGGACCATCACAGCTATAACATCACTCTAACACTCTCAATCTTGAATGACTCCAGTTTGGGGTCACTCAGAAACCACTCTGATCAAGCGGTCAGATCCAGGGTTGCCATTCAGCTCACTGATGGTACTAGTTTTGCCTTTAGGAGTCTTTACATCACGGGTGTCAAACATATGGCCCATCAGCTGAATCCGGCCTATGGAGCCCTATAACCTGGGGTCTTGGACTGACCCCATGACACCACGTAGGGCATGAGGAGCTGATCTGGCACATGGGCTAAACAGAGCTCTGCAGGCCCTGTACGCAGCACAGGGGGCCCAGGGTGTGGCATGCATGCAGTACCCTGCCAGACTGGCCCTGCATGCCGGCTCTGGTGCACACAGACAGCCTGGGGCCTGATCCAGACTGACCCTGGAGCCAGCATACAGACCTGGTCCAGGGCAGGTGTCACATGCTGTTCTACAAGTTAAATCTATTTTGTATAAAATAGGACTCTTAAACCTGCCTCCTGATAATTCAGTAAGTACCCCAGTGAGACTTCACACTCTTCATGATCTCAGAGACCTTGCTCATATCCCTCTTCAGCCTTCTCCTTACCAAAAAAGTCATTAAAAAGTCATTCTTAGTACTACAGCTGCTCCATATCTCATCTTTGTTGTTCTTCTCTTTTCTAATTCTACCACATCCTTTTTAAGATGTGGAGCCCAGAACTGCACACAGTATTCAAGATGTGGGTGCACCATGGATTTATACAGTGGCACGATGATGTTTTCTGTTTTGTTTTCAGTTATTTTCTTAGTAATGCCCCCAACAATTTATTGTCATTTTTAGTTGCCATTGTGCACTGTTTGAGAGAACTATCTACAATGACTCCAAGGTCTCTGTCTTGAGTCATACTGGTTAGTTTAGTGTATGTATTGCTAAGAATATTTTTTCCCCATGTGCATTACTTTGCACCTGTTAACACTGAAATTCATCTGCCACTTTTCTACCTATTCCTTCAATGAAGATCTCTTCCTTGTTACCTTTGATGGAAGTCTTAATATAACTGAATGGGCATGGAGACTTCAGTGTTAGAAACGGTCCCCTCCAGTTTAGGGTTCAAACATACCGGCATGGAGGTTTGACCCACTGGTCCCATATACTATACCAATTTCAGTTTCTAGTAGTGTCACTGTCCCACTGGTCACAAGGATGAATTTTACTCAGAAAAAAACACTTACTTCCACTTCTTATGAATTTACCACATACTAATTTTTGTTTCTAAGTCTAACAGATTTCTCATGTGATACATGATTTCTATCTGAACAGCCCACACAGCTAATCCCTGGACTATATTTCTCTCAGTTTTCCATCATTCACCCACATCTCCATTGACTCCTTAACACAGAAGAGGCTGAACAGTGAGAAAACAGCAGAGCTATAGAAATTGAAAGAAATATTTCAAGCCCACATATCCTGGAAAAGGACTTAAGAAAAGCAAGACAGTGCGAGGAGGAGCTTCATAAGGTCCAACACAGCCAGGAAGGAATCTTTCGCCAACCCAAGAGCAGATTAGGGATGCAGGAAGTCTAAAAGAGTCCTACATCAAATATTTTCCCTTCCATGTGAAAAGCTGAAGGAGGGAGGGAGAAAATCTCTAAGAGGATTTATTTGCCAAGGTTCCCTCAGTGTTTCCATTGTGGAACCAGGCACCTACACATGTGCCAGACATCTGCTTTAACACGTGCTAATTAGCATGATTAATCGATCTTCTGAAGCATGCTAATTAGAACACCCTTCTAATAGCTGAGACTCCTTCTAGTTTCCAACCTAAATTTATTTATGGCCAGTTTGTAGCCATTTTATTTTTGTACCTGTATTATTCCTTAATAAGAATAATGTGGTGCTTTGTGTGGAAAGTAGCAAGGGCTGGATTGTTTTTGTATGCAGAAGTCTTTTGACCTAGGATAGGGAGGAAGATTTAGCTATTAATTATTTTCTTAGAAGATGTTTTGGTTTTGAGAGGGGGCTTGGTTTGGTTTGGCTTGTTTGTTTATTTAACAGATTACTTGGCCTCCCCACTTGGATATGTTTTCTATTGAAAAATGTAGAGTATGCATGCTATCAACTATTATTATTTGTATTTCAGTAACCCACAGAACCCTGATGCAGTAAGGATCTGCTACCCCATTGAGCTAACTGCCGTATAAACACAACATGGGCCATGTTACACATTAATTTTCAGTGACTCCTGGAGCTCTTAACCTTTGGATTGTCCATGCGTTAACACCTGAAATTAGTTTTAAGTACATTTTAGGGGGCTTAAAGTTAGGCCACTCCAGGGCAGGTTTATCTGATCCACGTTAGCCTGCTCATGTTCCACTAATGTGTGGCCACTCCCCAAGTTGCAGTCTTCCAGAATCCCAGGATGCAGTGTCCCTTCCCCTGCCCTCCTGTTCTGTGTAGACAAACTTTCCACCCCCTGAATTCTCCTGACCAGGGGGCAGCAGTCCTGGCACCAAGCCAAGTCCCCTCCCACCCCCCAGAGGTATGACCTTGCTACTTCCAGGGGTACAACCCCATGCAAACAGTCTGCAGAGCACATGCCAGCTAGCCAGGTCACAAGGCATAGACAGGTCCAGGAGTGGAGTCTAGGGAAAGTGGGGAGGGGGGAACAAGGTAGGGAGCCATGCATGCTGTGTCCTGAAACAAATATAACATAACCATTTTAGTGGCTTACCAGAAGCTTACCAATTGGGAGCTTACTGATAACCTCAGTAACACACACACAGCAGCGCCCCAAGGTGACTATATTACTTTGATTTCAGGTAGTAGTGTGTATGGAGTGAGGGTGTGAGTCCACCTATCCAGAACTCCCTGAGGCACAAGGACCTGAGGAATCTGAAAATCCATTTGAAATTCTTGCACTTAACCAAAGGCAAGCTAACCAGTATTGCACTAAACCTTGTTTGTGTTTTTTAACAACACAGTGTTTCTATACACATGCTCTGATGCATTCCGATTAGAACGCATCCGAGCAGACTCGATTAATCTCATGTATTCAGCATCCTGTGTTTCAAAATGGCAGTGGGGGCACTTTAACTGAATGAGCTTTAGTTAAAACGCCTCCACCAAGAGGTGCACTAATTAAAAATTCTACCTCCACCACACAGCATGTGTTGAGGTACCCAAAATGAGGAGAGAATCCTTCACCAACGCTCCTGGGACAACCCCCCACAAACTTTTCAGATCTCTTAAATCCTCAGTGTTTTTTAAAACAAGGACGTACAAGCAATGCTATGGCACATTATTATACATTTTACCACACACCAGGCGTTCATTATTCAAACACGACTAAATTCTCCTCATCTGTTCCTTGGCACAAGTACCCAGGTGTAGCACAGGGGGCAGCCCAGAGGAGCTGGCAGCATGAAAACCTCATGCCATATCCCCAAGCAGCTGCAAATCCTGCTTCCTGGGTCGCTACAGTCCCTTCACTGTGCCACTCCCCACATGGCCTTATGCATCAGCCAACCCTCCAATTGTACCCACGTTCCTATCCTGTACCCCAGAAAGGAGAGATGCAGACCCTGTATACAAACTTCCCAAAGTCTGCCTTTCCCTGGGCAGCACAACTGCGCTGGTTCTACTGTGCAGAGGAGTGGATCGATTTTGCCCCTTCATCTCTCTTATTTATTCATTTGAGGATCAGCTCACTGGAATTTTGCCTGGGATGGACCACACAAGGTCTTCAAAATTTTGGTGCCAAATAAATGGACTTTCATTTAGCAGAATAAAATGAAAGTACTCGTGGTTTCCCAGTATAATCTCAGAGATTAACGTCTGGTCTGGCTCTTCCTCACCATAAAAAGCTGATTTCTTCTTTATGTAGTTCAAGACAAACAATATAATCACTTACATAATAGCTCACAATGTGGGACATGCTCCTTAAAGCCTCTCTAATCCAAATACTCCAAATTCAAAACCTCAGGGACTCACCTAAGACCCTCCCCTTCAGGGGAATACTGTCTGCAGTATTCCAGCGTGAAAGACTCTGTTGCTTCCGAGTTGGCTGAACTCCATCGGATGGTGGCTGTGTCCCAACACACGGTGCAGTCCTCTGCCTTTATTATTGGGGTTGAGGGAGCTGTGAACACAATGCCATGTTAGCTGCACTGGGAAGAATGCTACAGCTACTACAAAATGTATGCTGGGAAGACTGCAATGAAAATAAAACTGTAAAATGTTTAAGTCACTGATTCCATAAAAACAATAAACTGAGTTAGTATAAAAAGATCACTTTCCTCACATGGAAAAAATGAATTCATGTAGAAATAACAATAAGATTCCTTTTTCCTAATGTTGTGTTTATTCCTGTTGCTTCAGCAGTAGCAGTTTGCTTTATGGAGCTGAAGGTCCCAAGTCCTTCAGAGGGTTCTTTTTTTGGGGTGGGGGAGAGGTCACAACATAAATTTATGCAGTTCTGGGGTTACTTGAAGTGTCAAATCAGATGACTATTTACCTTCTCCACTCACTCCCTCTTTTTTTTTGCATTTCTGCTGTTCTTTAAGGAATAGACCAGTGAAGCCACTCTGTATATAGTTTTACCTAAATTGCCTCATCTCTCTCCTCAGCAGCCCTTGAATAAACAATATAACATACAAGAATATGATGCTGCAGAACTGAGAAATAGTGCTGACTTTGCTGCCTAATTGTTCCCGGCATATTCTTGCAATGCAACTTCTAAAATCTGATCCTATACTCTTTTTCTCAGAGCTTAAACTCGGGAACCATGACCCTATCACACAAACAGAAAAAAATGATAAAAAGGACACCAAATGCAAGTGATCAAAGTAGTGCCATGTGAAATAGTGTACAAAACTAGCCCATCAGATTTTTCAGCCTCATATTTTTAGCTGGAAAGTGATTTTGTTTACTCACTCACAACCTTTTTCCCTGCTTTGAATAATGAAATTGTGAGCCTGCCAAGATCTGTATTTGACACTTCTAAAGTAGTACTAACATCAAGCTGTAAAATAAAACTTGTTAATTTTAAAAAGTTCATAATAGAAAATACACATGCTTAAATATCTAGATCAGGGGTGGGCAAAATGTGGCCTGCAGGCCAGATGTGGTCCACCAGGCCATTCTATCCGGCCTCCGGGGCCCCTAAAAAATTTAGAAAAGTTATATTTATCTGCCCCTGGCTGCCTGTCATGTGGCCCTCGATGGCTTGCCAAAACTCAGTAAGTGGCCCTCCACCTGAAATAATTGCCCGTCTCTGATTTAGGTAGATAGATACATAGATAGACAGATAGATACATAGATAAAATATGATGCCTTAGTCAAGAATAAAAATGTGAATATACCAGGATAATCTTGCAGAACTGCAACCAATTTAAACCTTTTTGCTTGGTACCACAAATTGTTTGTTAATTATAAAAAACCATAAGTGCATATTGATTTCTTGGTTTAGTGAAAAATCAAGATTTATTGACCCAAGAGGTAAATAATAATAACTGCAGTGATGTTGAACTCAATACTTAACCTGAGGAATGACAGATCTTTATATTCATCAGAAGGAGGGCTATGTGGGCCAGAGTATCACCTGGCATAAAGCTGTGCAGCCCCATTGATATCAATGGGAATATCCTTCCTTATGCCAGTTTAAGATTCCAGGTACCGAGTTACACAAAATTAAGTTTAAAGACCCACAGGATTATATATCAAGGCTCACAAGGAAATGGAGGAGCTAGCTAAGGTGAGGGAAGGGGTTGTTGTACCAAAGACTGAAGGAGGATTTGAGGCAAGATTCCTTTAATTTCCTTTTGACATATTTGATTAATATTTGTGTTTTTAAATTTTGTCTATGCCGAGAAGGAAGATAAAATGTATAAATTCATATTTTCATAACACGCACACATAAATATGCTGTTGTAGATATTTTATCTAGCCATAAAAGTCATCAATGGGATTTACTCAGTTTAAATTAATAAACTAAAGGGTTAGATGAAGTCAGAGCATTAAAAAAGTGGTGTGTTTTTTTAAATTTGAATAATAGTTTTCACTTAAATGAGCTGCAGGCAGTCAGGCTGTCCTAATCACTATGTATATCTGTACACTGTATCAGATCTCAGATTTTGTCTGTTTATTGATTTTTGAAGAGGTACAGTGTAGAAAAATAAGGATAAGGTGTTTCTCCTCTGCTTCAGGGAATACAGAGGACCAGGTCTGATGGATCTTGACTGAAAGGGTGTGTGCAGGCCTTATGTTAATCTTTTGATCTGCAGATGACCTTCATCTGTCAAGGTGCCGGAGTATGGAAACAAAGAGATATCTGTTTCCCTTGACATCATTTCTGACAACTGAGAATAGTCATGTGAGATAATGCTCATCCAGCTGGATGAACACACACACTCATTCAGAGCAGGTTTGGAGTGCTTGCTGATAACGTGACTATGATAATATGGCTCCAAATATGGAAGCATATGGGCGTCTGGAAAGCAGAGCAGAAGCACGTGCCTCTGCTGTAAAAGGCCCAAGACTAATGCAACTCAGATGCCAGATGCATTCCTTCCTTTTCTCCACTCTATCTTCTCTGTCTCCTGCTCCATTTGAAAGTCTATGTGAATTTTTCCTATGTCGGAGGTGTTCTTCAATTAACTCCAATTCTATTGTCCAGCCAGTTTACAGATGGTAGTTGTTTTCTTGTGTGTACCAACACAATAGGGATTACTGCAATGAATGTAATTAATTCTGTTTCTTTGTATTGCTAACTGGACTATTTAAGGTATCTAAGTATGCCAGCCTAGTGACCTAACAGTAGCACACTGCACTGGCATGCTAGAGAATCAGTTTCCATTGCCAATGAAATCCCAAGTGTCAGACAGGCGGAGTAGTCTAATATTTTGCATTGTTCAGCTATGTTCCCACTAGCCCACTGCAGGATCAACTGGCTCCAAAGAGATTTTGCCTCAGTTTGTGAGAAAGTTACCAAGTTACAGAGGCACAGAATTAAGAGTTCAAATAGGAAACCATCAAGTTTCAAAGGAGACAGGAAAAGATAACACAGCATGGCATTCCAGAGACTTAGGGGAAAATTCTATTTCACCTTCATGGCTAAGTACAGACATTCAAAAAGCCCAAGGCGGAATCAATCTAAGTTACATGGTTTTCTGTAAGTGGTGCAATTTAGATCAGTGGCAAACAGAACAAACATTCACACTTTGGTGTTGGGGGACGGGCAAATCTTAGACCAGGTTCTACCATTTGTAAATAGTCAGTGTGTGCTGAACTTCTATTCTGTTATGGGTATAGACCAGTTTCCAATCACTTATATCTGTAGAAGTGTAATGTCTGTACCTGGCCCATGTGTCTAAGTAACACTTCCATGGCCATTTAATAGCCTCCTCCTATTAGATAAAACATCAGCTGGTTATAGTTTTTCTGTAACTAAAGTTCTGTGATTTGCATGTATTTATGATATTTTGTGACGTTCATACCCAGGCAATCTTATTCGGTTCCAGGTGCCCATGTATCCTATTGAGCATTCCCAATTGGGTAATGCAGAGCATGCATTGATTTCTTGAGTATATTTTAACTATTTCCTTGCAGTGGCAGGACATTGTCAGTGCCCTCATCTCCCTGCTTAACCTGGCAAGTTGAAAAGTATTTTTGATGTTTTGGGTATTATGCCTGGCAGTTGCACGTGAAGGTTATTCCTGAAGTTTTTAAGAACCCATGAGACAAACACTTATCAAGGACAGCTCAGATAGAGATGATCCTGCCTTGGTTATGGGGTTGGAGTAGATGGCCTTCTGAGGTTCCTACCAGTATGATTCTATATGGAATCCAAACCATGCATCAGTGCCAAAAAATGCAGCTATGGAGCTATACAATTGTGGCAGGCTTGCCGGTAACCACCTGTTTTGCCAGCTTAGAAAGGTGTCAAGTGATTGGTCGGGTGTACCCACTAATTATGTAGCAACTGGAGGGAAGCTGGCCCCACCCCTACCTGAGGCAAGGCGAAGAGTGGGAACCTGGATGAGGGCTACACCCCCCTTCACCCTGGTTGGTCCGTTTGCAATCTGGGGGTGGAACCTCCAGAGGGTATAAAAAGATCAGCGTGCCTGGCACACGGGGCTGCTGCATCAAGAGATGAAGACACTAGTGTGAGTTGGCCAGCAGGATAGAGCTGTTGCCCCAAAGAGCCCCGAAGACTCCCCCTCACTGGATGGGAGCAGCGAGGGGCCACGTCCCTGATCCTGCTGCTAAGGAGTGCGGCGAACAGTGCACAGCTTGGTGCACGCAGCCAGACCCTGGGAGCTGCACGAGGCAGCTCAGATCTGCAATCCCCTGCCAGCGAGAGGCCAGGAACACAGTGCATGAGCGGTGCATGAAACCAGACCTTGGGAGCTGCATGAGGCAGCTCGGGTCTGCAACCTCTGGCATGTGGCCAGATGGTTGGTGCACAGACAGCACACAGCATGGTCCAGGAGTGTACTGGGATCCCAGGAGCTACACAGGGCAGCTTGGGTCCATAACCCCTGGCAACCAGTAAGGCCTTTGGTGCACAAGAGGTGCATGGAGAGAGACCCTGGGAGCTGTTTGCGGCAGCTAGGGTCCTCCATCCCTGGTGAGAGGCCAGGAAACTTGGTACTGCTAGTGCGGCATGGAGGGTTCGGCAAGGTTGAGACCCTGGGAGCCCCTAGCAGCAGCTCGGGTTTCCACCCCTTGGCACAGAGCCAGTGCCTCAGTGCAGGCAATGCTGCACAGAAAGCTAGGGAGGGACCGAGCCCCAGTGCTGCTCGAGGTGGGTCAGGCCTCTAACCCTTGGTACAAGGAGGAGCTGGCGGTGCATGTGGCCTGAAGGGGGCCAGCTGACAAGGAGCTCTGGGTGACAGAAAGTCCCTGGAGGAGGAAGAGGCGCTAGACTCCAGGAGACAGGGACAACTCTGCCAGGAAGTCATGAGTTACCCAGAGAGAGGGGTCCCCACAGGGGAGGACCCCAGTGGGGTGTGTAAAGGGGGTCACATGGGCTATTCCCTTGGGATTGGGAAAGGTCTGGGAGCTTGGGGTTTTCTCCATTTTTCCACCCTGGTATCTAGGAAGTGCTGCCCCGCTTCCAAGGTTATTCTTTTGGGTATTGAGAGTATTTCATATCTAGCTTCCTGCACCTTATATATTATATATGGTACCTTATATTCTGTGAAAATTATTTTATATTGTAAATATTTATATGTTATGGAATTTATGATTGCATGACTCTTGAAGGCATTGAGTTAATCCCTTTGATTGCCTGTTGATATCTTGATGGGTGTGTAGGGTTTGTATATATTCATATAAGTATTTTCGATATTGTATTTTGCCCCTGTTTCCACCCCTTGTTTTACCCTAATAAATTGTAAATAGTAAAGTTGTAGGTTGTCTCAGCTTGACTCTATAGGGGTTGGAGGTGATTGCTGGGCCACAGTGTCCCTCCACAACACACCACCCTGCTGATAATTCCCCTCAGTTGGAGAGGGAATGTACCCCTGGGCACTACCTGGGTTATACAATTGAAAGTGACTGTAATGGGGAACCCTAAGCCTGATGCACAGAAAAGAGGGTCAGGTGAGAAAGAGCAGCAGGGTCCCTTGGAGGCTAGAATTTCTGTAGCCTGATGGAGGAGGGTGGCTGCCTGCAGAAAGGGAAGCCCTAACAACTCAACCAGAGGGGTAGAGACCCCATCAACCAAGAGAAAACCCAGTACAGCAGGAGGGGCAAACTGCCTGATGCAGGTAATGGAAGGAGGAATGAATGGCTTGGAGCTGAGCTCACTCCACTTTTTATGAAGCCCAGCTTGCAGCTAGCTAGCTGCAGAAAACAGCAGGAAGGAAAGGTGGGGGATTGGCAGCACCTGGGCCAAGTAAGCAGGAAGCCTGGTCAGCTGACTGAGGAGGACGAGTTAACTGGGACATAAACCCTTCCTCGAGGCAGAGGTGGGAAGGAATGGCCCCAGCAGTGGAGCAGGATGGCACCATCCTGAGAGATAAGGGCCAGGGCAAGCCTTGCAGAAAGAACTGCTGCTCAGGAGGAGAAGCCTGTGCTGACAGGGTGAGCAAGAGCCCAAGGGGCACAGAGAACTGAGAACTTTTCTGTTGGCTCAGGAAGGACCCTGGGAGAGGGGAAGTGAATACACACAGCACAGAGGACTGTTTAATCCCTGGAGGGGCACTGTGAACTGAGTGCACCCAGGGGGCTAAGGTTGGCTCAGATGGGTTCAGGAGGAGCCTGGTGAAGTGAACGCACACAGAAGGGTGGGGCAGTGTGTGTTAACCCAGTGAAGGCCTGTTTTCCTTTTTGTCCCCCTTTTCCTCTACTTGCCTGTTAGGAACACCTGATGGACCAGGGCAGCTGTGAGGGAGATACGGCAGCCACAGAGCAGAGTGTTCAGCACCCCTTGAAATTTTCCCCTCTATTTTTCCATGTTCATACTTTCTTATTTTTGTGCTGGTTTTGGAAAGGGAGGGAGGTGGCAGCCTCTACCAGGTAGAGACCCAGGAGAGGGTTGAAACCCAGATGGGCCAGAGGCCCTGACTAAAGTCAGGTGGGCTGGAACCCAACAGGGTTGAAGCCCCAGCCAAGGACAAGGAGAGAATGAGAGAGAGAATGGCAGATCCCTGCACTACCCAGTTGGACCAGTAGCCAGGGAAGGAGGATGGGGGGCACTGCACCCTTGGCTAGACTTTGGTCACCTAAATGCAGCCTCCCAAAGAACATCCTAACCAGTATCAAGGCATGGCAGGAAGGAGGGAGGAGTCAGATTAGGGGAGTAGGGTAGGCAGATAGGTGCTGCAATGCCATCTGGGGGCACCACAACCACCCCTGGAAGGTGCCCCTGTCACACTGACATGCATGAGGGTGAAACAGAATTTAGCTCATAGTCTTTTAGTGAACTTCAGTTTTGAGAATAGCTTGCTGAGTTTCCAAAAAACTTGGTTTTCACGCCAGCACAAAGGCAACAATAGAGTTTATCTGCCAGAAAACAAGGGTCAGAAGAGGTTAGAAATTAGACCATGAAGAAATGTGATATTATTATTATTATTTTTTTGTGAATATATTTGTGAATTATTTAGCCATTCCACAGGATTTGGCACCTGTAAGGTCTGGATTTTCACAAAGTCTATATCTTTTTAGTGAGTAAGAACAAAAACATACAGTTTTTGCAAATGTGACCTTTGGCAAACAAACAAACAAAACAAAAACAAACAAACAAAAACCCCAACAAACCCACAAAAACACCCTGCTAATTGAATATGAAGGAGGAAGAGAAGGTTTCATGCCCCAATGAACTAAGTAAGGAGCTCAGAGCTTTGGCTGCTACTAGGGGCCTGTCTATACCACTTCCACCATGTCCCAGAGAACACTGCTGAAGAACATGCCCTGCCTACCCACTCCACGTGTACCAAACCCAGAGATGGGGATGCACAGTAATTCTGAGAGTACCTACTACTAGCACTCTTGGGCCTGTGTAGATGAAATGGGGGACCCTAAATTGAAGCAGTGGGTTTTTAAAAACACCGCTTCGATTTAGAGTCCTTTAAACCCCCGTGTCATGCACACCCCCAAACTTACCTGCCTCTCCGGTGACTCTGCCTTCCCAGGTTGCTGCCAGGCTGCCTGCAGAGCTCCTAAGCTGCACAGAGCCCAGTGCTTCATTTCACGGCTGTAGGGCAGCAAACTTAAACTTGGAGGAGGAGTTTTAGTTTGCTGCGCCCCAAGTCATTTAAAGCGCATTATGCTGCCGAATCTGCTACAGCGGCTGGAATTACTGCACAATACGCCACTGATGTGTGCAAACACCAACACCATTAAAGCAGTGCAAAACCATTTAACCCACTTTAAAGTGTCATGCACACATGCCCCCCATTTTGTCTACACACAGCTCTTGTGCACTCTGTGGAGAGGCAGCTTAAGGGTGGTTCCTCCCCAGGACATCTTTACAGCCTCACTTCTGGGTCTGGCACATGGGGAACTGGAACAAGTGAGCAAGGTAACACCTCAGTGGTGCTCTGAGGAGTGCCAGGACAGCAGTAGGGACAGGCCTCAAATGGTCTCAGTAACACTTTGTGCTTTACAAACGCTACTGACTATAAGACATTTAACTGTTATTATTCATATTTCCATCACAGAAACTGAATAATCCTGCTCATCCTGCAGAGTTTAAATGGCCTGATAAAAATCATCTGGCAAAGGAAGTGTCAGATCATGGATTAGGATATATGACTTCTATTGCTATGCCTAATCCATGAGATTGTAGTCAACCCAGCGCAAGGCACTTAAACTTTCTGAGCCTTAGTTTCCTCAATAAAACTTACTTATCTAGTTATTTGTGATTTATTATGTGTATCACAGTAGTGTCTAGAAGTTGCAGCTGAAGTATGAACTCCTAATGTTCATCCACATAAGACATGGGCCCTCCCCTGAAGAGTTTACAGAAAAAAGGAAGTGTTTTTATCACTTTCACTTTTACATACTCCACAAGAGAGTTTCTCCACATACAGTCTGAACCAATGGTGTATAAACCTTGGCTCCCTCTGCCTTTGTGCCTGTCTCCCCTCTTCCCTTCCCACCTCCCCAAACTGGGGAGCAACTCCTGCTGCATCACACAGGGCCCCCAGGTCTCTCCTGAGCCCTCTTGCCCCAGAATCCCTCAGTCCCACAGGCCCCATCACTCTGCCCCGCTCCCAGGAGTTGGGGGCGGGATAGGGAGGCGCACAGTCAGAGGAAGCTGGAGGAGGGAGGGGAAGCCCCAGTACTCCAGAGGCAGCAACAGGAAAGCAAAAAGGGGGAACAGAGCCTGGAGCAGGAGCCCAGCGGCCACAGTTTAACTCCTTGAGGGCTGGATGTAGCCTATGGCCCGCCAGTTGGACAGCCTTGATCTAACATGATTCTATGCAATTATGAATCTATGAAAAAGAGATGGGGAAGACTAAATAGTTTTCAACATTTTTAACGTGGTCTAAGAATCGGAGGCCAACAATCATTAAATATACATACCAGTTTTAAAAGTGTATTTGTCACTGGGTAAGCTACATCCTGTGTAGTTCACAGCCATAACCCATACACTATAACAACGATCTGGCTCAAGGTCTTCCAAGATACAGTGACTTTCCTTCACTGTAACTCTGTATTCTTCCACCAAGGCTAGGGACAAGCATACACATACAGGTCATTAGGGAAGTGCATAATTTTTATAAACAATTCATCTGCCCTAGGGCTATCTTGCATCAACTAATATGTAAACAGGAGATAACATTGTCAGGTCTTGTATGCAAAAGTATAATTTTTGTCACAGAAATATGGTTGAGAAGACCTCAGATGAGTTCTGTTGCATGGGGATAAAATGTGCAGGTTTATTGGCTGGCACTATTACATTTTATTGCCCTTCATTCCTGGGACTAGCACAGCACTGCCTTAGCTAATTAACATGGAGATATTTTAGAGCTATTTATACTGTTTTAAATCTTCATTATTCATTCTCCAACAGAACAGCAGAAATCACACAAAGTACTGATTTCCTCCTGCAATACGTTGAACAGAGCTGGTTAAAAAATATGGACTTGACCCTTGAAAATACAGACCATATTTTTTTACTTCTGTCAAATTTTCCAGAGAAATTGTAATCTTTTGGCAAAATATCAGAAATGAAATATTTTGTGTTCAAAATGGTGCCTCATAGGAATCATGGTTTGGGTGCCTTATGCTTTCTCTTCTCTGGGCAAGATTTTGGCTTGGACTATTTCTGGCATGAAACAGTGCTCTCTTCCCTCTTAGTGATAAGTGGGGTATATTATTATAAGGGATTGTGGTACCCCACAGTAGGTGTTATCTAGCCAGGAGACCTAGGCCACGAAGGACAGCAGTGGCTTCCTAAATAAGGCACCCTAACTAAAATGTTCATGGTGCAATTTTAATCTGAATATTTTGGTTTTCAGCCAATTGGGTTTTTCAATGAAATACTGGCATTTTCTGTGGAAATCCGATATTTTTTGCAGAAAATGTTACTCAGTTGAGAACCCAATTTTCCACTGACAGAAATTTTTCGATCACTCCTAGGGCTGAGTCCCCTCAAATTCCACTGAAGTCAAGGGGATGTCAAAGCATTAAACACTGTGAGGGATTGGACCCCCAATTTGTTTTAGTGCATGTCAATTCAAAGCAGCTGTAAAACTGGGCTTCATTTCTCTCATGTAACCAACTCTCTCAAAAGGAACTGCTTCTTTTATTTAAAAAAAATCTAGTTTAAGCAATAGTAATACATTTTAAATTATTTTATTTCTAGATTAATATTTTTAATATGCAAACAATATATATATATATATATATATAAAGCAAAATTTTTTTAATGACATCTGCAGCTTTGTGTTGAAAAGGTGTATTTCTTGCTGTATTACAACTGGATGCATTTTATACACTTGGGATCCTAATGTTGACCCCCCCTCCCCCCAAATCTATATCACACCCCTGACTTTTGGAGATGGTAAATTGAATTTGTATCTTCTAGACCCATCAATAGGCATGGCATCGTCTCTGAAAATCAGGACCCTTTTATTAAGGCCAAATATAGCTTTATCTGCCATAACATAAACACCCAGGTTGATTCCTTTCACCAAAATACTTAGCTATTATTCCACTTTTTTCTTTTACTTAGTTCATGGTCTCCTCAGTTACTTGTAATACCTTCAATGCTTAATACTGTCTTCACAATCTCTCAGCTACTGATTCTATGCTTTTTCCCTTTAGATGGCAACCATCTTGTCTTTTCTTTTTGCTGAAATAGTGGGGCTAACAGGCAGGTTTAGTCACATACCACTTCCCTCTTTGTTTGCTTGAGGTTCCTCCATGCAGTAGACCTGAAAGTAGTCAACAATGTCTCCTTCATTCACAGTCCAGTAGACTGCTACGGATGTGCTAGTAGCTGAGTTTGGTTCCTGAGGTTTTAATTTTGGAGTCTGTGGAACTAAAAGAAAAATCTGAGTAAATACTCATACTCCTGTCTGTTGAACTACATCAATTCCTTAACTACAAATAAGGATTCATCAAAATGAACAAGTTGGCTGGATATTTAGAATAATTGAATATGGGTAATATCAATGTGATTTTAGGTCAAGAAACTTAGTTGCTGAGAATGGGATTCCATTAATCTGATCCTGTTATACCCTTCCAATTTTGCTGCGGTTTCACAGGTGTAAAACCTTAAAGAATTTGGGAACATCAGATCGCAAGAGGCTTCTCAGCCAATTAAGCCCAGTCCTCTGCATCCACAGATAACCATTTATCCAAAGAGTCTTACAAGCTACCTACTCCAACCTCTTGCATGTCAGTCACAGGTCACATTATGAAAAAAAATACCCTCAAACACCCTACCATGTGCCACAGGCAAAAAACAGGGGAAACATAGGGCACTACCATAAGCCTGCCATTGCAATGGCAGAGAAGTAATTTGGTTTGTATATTATTAGAGGACCCTCAAAAGAGGAATGTGTCACATGCTACGCAGGAAACAAAAGCCACCACAGTCCTAGCCAATTTGACTAGGGGAGGAGTGGCATTCATCCTTTACCCTGAATCTGGTGGGCCGCTTGACCCTAAGCAGAAAATCAAGATCTTCTAATCAAATACCTGAGAAATTTCTAAATACAGGAACACTAGCACAAAATTCCCACCATTAGCTGTGGCCAGTGTCCAATGCTTCAGAGGAAGGAAAAATCTTACTAAAATCAATAAAACATTAACGACGGGGGAAAACTGAAGCCTGGCCGCTAGACCAGCAGAAACTCGGTACCATGAGTTTAGCAGACCAGAGAGAAACAGTCACCTTTGAATCCTAACACTAGGATTGCAAATACTTGAATCAATATATCACAGCTCTTATTACTAATCCAGAACCCCCTGTCTTATCATACTGTGCATTTCCCATCATATTAATTTGTCAAATTTCATTTGGAGAGATTCAGGTTCTTTGCTCCTATTACTTTGTTTAGAAGACCATTCCAAAACTTCATTCCTCTAATAGAAACCTTTTAATTTCTTACCTAAATGTATTCACAACCAGTTATGAATTAACTTGATCTTGTGCCAATATTGTTCTTTAACTTATTCAAATACTTTTCCCAGTATCAAAAATATCAGTCCTGCCCAGTCAGCAAATATTTAGGCTATACTTACACACCTAATCCTAATGGTAAGAACATTAGGTCTTAGGCTGATCATTGTTCGAAAGGTTGTACCAACACTAGCACCCAGGGCCAGATCCAAGGTGGGGGCACTGATGCACTTGCACCCCACTTTGATTTCTGCTCCACCCACCGTTTAAAACAAACTGCTGGGTAGTAGTAGCAACAGTTTTATTCAGGCAGTGCTAAAAGAGTCACTTGACTTCATGGCTCATTGTAATCTACCTGATCCCTTCTAAACTCTTTATTCCACAGGTGTTAATGATGACCCTCTCTTCTTTTTAATGGTCTTGATGTTCCACCAATCAAGCCTTTTGTTCTGCAGTTCTGTGGTCTGTTAACTGCTCCTGGTAATGAAGCTCCTATTTCACAGCCCTGCAGATTGTTTTTAAATTATGTTTGTTTTTGCTTCAATCTTAAACTAAATGATATTGCCCTAGGCCCCTAGCATATTAGTAAAGCTTTATTTCTTTTTTAACTAGAGAAAAATATGTGTTGTTTTTAGAGGTGAACCAATACATCAATCTGATATCAGATTGGTACTGATATGAAGAAAATTGTCTATATCAGATATCAGTCATATGGGGCCAATATTTTGACCAATAAATGTCCGTGCTCTGTGCAGCCACAATGCAGCATGAATCAGAGCCAGCAGTGTGGAGAGCTGCCTCCAGCTAGTAAGTCGGAAGGGGAGGAGAAAAGGAAAGGGCGTGGGGGGGCACATCAATGCCCCCTGTGGTGAGGGAGGGGGCGGGGCCAGGGGCAGGCGCTGCCCAGGCAGGGCTGGGGGTGTGGGACGGAGGTGCAGCTCATGGGGTGGGGGCAGCTGCCGCCACTGCTTGCACCCCAGGAGGGGGGAGGGGAGTGTGTGCTGCCGGATCTGCGTGGTGCGAGGCAGGTGGCAGCTGCGGGATGGAGCTGGAGCTGGCACTGCGCGGGGCTCTTCTCGCCTGGGACTGGGCTCAGAGCAGACTCCAGCAGTGCCGGGAAGAGGCTGCAGCCACCCCAAACTTCGCAGCAGCTCTGTTCCCAGCCCCGTGCTGTGGCCCGGCACAGCCCTGGGGCACCAGGAAGAGATAATGGCAGTTCCTTGGTTTCTAGTAGGGTCAGGGATTGAAGACCAACACTTTAATTCTACAGGAGCCTAGCAGGAAGATTTGCAACTCCCCAAAGGAGCAAACATAGACTATTCTGTTTGACAGAGGCAACAGTAAATGTATGGCAGTGGAGTTTTGGATATATTTAAAGATCAAAATACCATCCAGTCAATTGAATCTCCCAATGAAATCATTTTAACTAAAATATTGAACTAATCAATCATGCTTAATGCTGTTTGTGTTAGTGGAGTAGGGGGTCTCTCAGACTATAACTTCAGGTTTTTTGTTCCTCCACAACTTCATCTAGCTCAGGACTGATTGCAGAGTCATCTTCTGCATTCTTTTGTTGTATTCTTTTTTAAACACCTGTCACACAGGTTTACAGTCCATGACATGTTGTTCCCCCATGTGCAGGGGAAATGAAAACTATGAAAACTATGTACCTGCTGTAGCAGGTCTTCTTTGGAAATATGTCCAGAAATGTGCTTCCTGTATAAGTAGCCACAAACTGCCTCTGCAGTGAAAAGCAAACAACCCAATGCCTGACCATTCTCAGGAGAGTCTGTGGACTCTGCCCATTAGAGATCTTATAATAGATCAAAGTCCCCTAAGTGTCCACCTTTGCCCTTTGGTGATCCAAGAACCAATGTCTTTGGAGGCCAGCAATAACTTTTAACTTTAAAGGTATCAAGAAAATACTGAAATGTAGTAAAATGCCAAGGGCATCTTCCCTGCCCTTTCCTCATGAGGCCTATTAATCTTACTAAAGAGAGAGAGCCCATGTGCTCTAGGTTTTTACAATGTTGTGGTGCACTCTGAAGCATAAATTCTGCTGAGGCCTAAAAAATTCATCTTACAATTTAAAGCTGTCAGATAAGGAAGCCCTGCTGGAGAAGCATTCTCAGGTCACACTGCATTAGAGACAGGAGCAGGTTGTCTTTTGGAAGATCACATTTCTGCTGAATTCATCTTGCCCTAAACATAGGGGCTACGCTGGGAGACATAAGTGACCAACCAAACAGGGAATGAAATACTTGCTTGTAGGGAACAGTACAAAAGTGGAAGCCACAGGAAAAAGGAGCCAGATTCCAGTAGGAGTTTCACTTCAGCAAAAAGAAGAAAGGGTGAATAAGTTTCCTTAAAGTGAAGAAAAATTATTTACCACCCCATGAAGGGTCATATCAGGTCTAGAGGGAGAGAAGACAGCAGGAAAACAGGCCTCTAGTCCACAGGAAGGCTTTGGATTATAGTAGAGGGCCTTACTCCCAATACACTCTGGCTGGACTCCTGGGCTCTGTCTCCAAGGTTCAGAACTCATCCTTAGGGAGAATAAGAGATTCTTTTGGGACTCTGGTACTGTGGCATTGCTTTCTGAGGACCTAGTAGTGTCTTGTAGGGTGATAATCCTTCCAGGAACTAGAAGGAGAATTGTTTCAGTTTCCCAATGTTAGTGTATTACTAAGGTCCTATGGTCAGCTGGCATTTCCTAACTTCTCTGAAGACATCATAAGGTCCTGTATGAGTACATAAACTTCAAATATGCATCAAAAAGTTTGATTGATGATCTAAACAGAACCATCCTTGATGAGATTGCTGTGTTTTTCCCTCTAAAATTATGGGTTAATGGTAGAAAAAATAGATTTCACTGCTAAATAGCCTGATTGCACAGAACAAAAATATATGCATTTTTCCCTTTTTCTCAGTAAATTTCCATGTTACATGAATTCTATTAAGATGCAAGAAGAAAGCTTTTTTTCAGTTATCTTCACAGTAATGATGATGATCCCCTGTGGCATGAATAAGGCAAATGCTGATGCTTGCTGTTTTCCTGTGATTTATACAGAGAGCTGTCAGTATAGGAGGAGTGCATCTGCTTCTCATTGAGAGAAAAAAATCCTTTCAGTTGCTAAAAGCAAACCAGATTTTTTTTTATATTACAACTAGTGATTGCTAGTGACCAACTTGAGGCAGCACTTTCCTTTTCCTAGTGCTCAGTGGGAAAATTACTGGCAGTTTTCAATAGAGATGTATGTGAACTAGATTCTTCATTCTACACAAAATTTATTCAAAATAATTTTTTTTGCTAGAAGTCAGAATGAAAAAGAATTTCATTTAAATAAATTTAAAAATAAATTTAAAAATACAATAATTTAAGGCCAGTCAAGACATTTACTTCAAAATGTCTCATTTAAATTTTTTATTATGCAAATTTAAAGAAAATTCCTTTCCAAATGAAATTTTTTTTTTAAAGAAATGTCAAAATGGTCATTATCAAAATGTTGGTTTTTCCTTCAAAAATAAAATGTAGTCAAAGTAGACACATCCCCCCAGAAATGTCAGGGAAATGTTCCACTTGAAATTTTTCAGCAAACTCCAGGTTTCAGCTCTGCCTAAAGTACATCCAATTTGCCTCCTGAGTAACATTACGACATCCCTAATGTATCATGGGCCCTATGGGACTTAGGAAGTATGCCAGGTACTTCCTCCTTTCATAGCCTCCCCAGTGGGACAATTCAGTTGGTGAAGGTGCCTGTTAACTGTATTTTTATTTAAATAGAAGAGGACAATGACAGTATTTTTCAGAGACAGACTTTCAGTTTTGGAATTAGTCTTGTTGGCTCTCTCTCTGAGAGAGCCCAGTTCGAAAGCATGCTGCAAGGCTGCTTTGTGTTCCCAGGCTTTTTTGGAGAAAGTGGCTGGAGTGAAGAGATGAGGGCCGGGCCATGACACTGGCAGTGTAGATGGCTGCAGCTGCACAGAGCACAAGGTCACTAATGACACAATCCAAAGAGTTGGTAAGCTTCTTCAGGTGTATCCAGAACAATGAGCAACACAGTCACATCAGTGCACTATTTTGTGTGGGTTAATAAGTTGTACTGAGAGATGAGAGTGGGGAGAGGACAGAAGAGGAGAGACATCTTTTGGGAACGTTGCACAAGGTACAGAAGTCTTACAGCATAGCTCTGGATGAGGGGAAAGGGGTTTTTACTTTGTTTGGTGGAAAGCTCTAGGGAATGCTGACAGCTTTAAAGGGGAGAATTTTCTGATGTAGTTGAAATAAAACTGGGCACATTTTCTCAGACAAAATATTTTCTTACCACAAAATGCAGATTTGGGTCAACAGAAACATTTTGTGAATTTAGACCCAATTTATCAGATTTCTTCAGTTCTTTGCCTGAAACAATCTAAGTATTTTGTTCCAGTATATTCTAATGTTTCAGTTTTTCAACCTAAAGCAATATTTTATTTGAAAATGTTCTTCAGTTTTACTTAAACAGCTCACAAAGCAAATTAAATAGTCACCAAAAATAAAGAAAAGGAAAGTGAGGCTTTGGGTTTGCACAAAATGGATATTTCTGGTAGTATAATCAAATAATGAAATCAGTTATCATACACACCAGGTAGAAAGCCTTTGGGTGTCCATTTTGCTATTTTCTAGGTTTTTATTAACCATGGGGTACCTGGAGCTTTGTTAGATTTTAATAAACTGAAGGAAATAAATACAGGCGAGGCTCCAGATTCCAGGAAAGCTCATTTTGGTGTCAGCACACTGCCAAAAAGGAGAAGGAAAAGGGAGTCAGCATATCCGAGACTATGGTTAAACTCCCTGTTATGTTACAGTCTTCCTATATGTTCTCAGGCAAGTCATTTAATTCCTTTATGCCTCAGTTACCATTTTTAACAGTATTGCCTACCTCACTGAGTGGTCAGAAGGATGATGAGGCACTTAGATGATCTGCTTAGAGCAGTAGAGCAGAGATGAGCAAAGCAAAAATGGGAGAAGAGAGCAAAAAATGGAGGGTTAAATAGTAAAAGAAAGAGCAAAAACTACATAGGCTGATAAGAGAGAAACAGGACATTTTATTTCTACACACTATAAGGAAAAGACTATATGGAAAGAAAGGGGAATTAAAAATACAGAAGGGAGGTGGATTTCGTGGGATACACCTATTCACCCTCAATGTGTTAATCCAAATTCAGTGATGTTTGTTTTTCATTGGAGACAGTAGTTAAGGCAGATCAAAATAGGAAGGGGAGCACACCAGTCCAGAAAATAATGATATCACACTGACTTTTCTGAAAAGACGACACAAAAGGCAAAACAAATATGTTCCTTCTTTCATCTCCCATCTTGCCATTAGCCAGGACCTCGGGTGGGAAGATAGGACTCAGCTATTGGACTGAAAAAGGTATCAAAGCAAATTTCCCCTAAAAATGTCATAAACACTGCCTCTAAGTTATAGGCAGACTTTTCTCTTAGACTACAAGAGTGTGGATTTGCATTGTTGTGCAGAGCCGTCATTCACAACCTCCTTTATGCAGAGCTGCCTGAAAACACCTAAGTACACTTAGTTCTCTTGAAACAAGATATATTTTGAAAAGCTGGAGAGAATGCTGATGGGGATGAAGCTGAGTGGGTGGCCAGCTATGAAGAACTGTGCTGAACTGTTGGTTTTCAGAACGAGTCTGTTCCATTAAGAAAAAAATTGAAGAGAAAGCTTGTAATGGGTGAAGATGATACATGATACACAGTACACAAATACAGTTTGTCCTCTTCACTTCACTTACTGCTGGCCTGATCTGGATAATCTTTATGGGTATAAATCATACACAAGTATGGCATGCTCTTCAGGTGGAGTGGAGATACAATATACTCCATTATCCTGTTCACGTCTATGAAATAGGCTACCTCCATTTTCTGTAGCCACTGCTCCTTGAGACTGGATGCAGATGGGCTTCCAGCTGCTGTATCCACACTAACACAGTTTCAATGGCCTATTTCTGCAACCCATGCACAGTTGTGTTCTCCACATCGCTCAAGTCAGAAGCCTACTTCCTAAGGACTTTGGAAGTTCAGAAGGACCCCTGAACAACTATTGTGTTTCTGCCCAGAAACACTGGAGCACACTGGGGCTTCCTTGGCACAGATAAATTTATACAAGTCTTACGTTCACTTAGGAACTATGTGGGATCCAATGTATGATCCTTATTGTATGAGGAATAGGCAGAGTAATGGGATTTTAGAACAAACAAAACATTTTAGTCCTTTCTCCTGTGCCACCCTTTTCACTGTTCCATAATAAACCAAACACTTGTGCACAATTAGACTTCATTTCAAATTCAGCTCTGATTGCTAATTATTCAGGCTTACAACTCTGCAGCTCTTCTTTCAAGCACACACTGTTTTTAGTGTTCTATATATTCCAAGGCTTTGCCAAAATGTCAGCCTTTGCACGGGTGCACTCAGAAGAGATTCTTACCAGGCACGAGGTTTAAGGTCTTCTGATCACTTCGTACTGAACTGTCAGCATAATGTTGAAAAAGTGAAAAAGCACTGGGCATCTTTTCTAAAGAAAGAGTATTATCCATGGCAGAAAGCAACCTATTTGGAAGAAAACATATCCAAATAAATCTGGGTGGTAATACATAGCTTCCAAAGGTCAAAGGTGAAAAACATGTGACATGCACTTCTCTAAATATTTCCCAAGGAATTAACACCAGAAGCAAGAAGAGAGCTTCCTAAGCTTGGATACTTAGAACAATTACACTAAGTAGAGTGCAGAGTTGTTAAAGCTATTTCAGGTTCACTTTAGCAATAAAGATGAACCCTATCCAACTCCACAAATCAATACACTCATGAGCTATGAGAAGGTTTGAAACAGAAGTTGTATATAGGGTCCTTCTGTCTGCAAGGGTATATGCTTACTGACACTATCCCTTTAAATATATTTAAAGGCTACATAAAATTACAATTAATCTACAGGAAGCTGACTCCAGAGATTAATGTAAAGCAGCTGGTTGCAAGGAGCAAAAAATAAGAAAAAAGGAAAATGGATTGGACTTAATTAGCCCTTATTTGATGCGTTCATTATAGAAAAAAACAACATATTTTTAACTTTGAGACAGAAGCTGTCTCAAAGAAATTAAAAGAGTCTTTCTGCAAAGCAATTGACTCTTGCTATTTTTTACCTTGATGCAGTTACTTGTTCACAGTTTTCACAGAACACAGATAATAAAAATACATTTTTGGAAAGACATATAGCATCATATAAATCCTTCTCCATCTTTTTAGTCAATCAGAAAAAAATCAGTTAGAATAAGTCCACACACATATTAAAGTGTATTCTGTTTTGTAAGTTCATGTTAATAAAACAAACATGAAGTAAGGAAATCCCTGAGAAGTATATTTTACATAGGATGTTTTTCAGTAAATGACAAGATGTGACTAATTGGTTAGACCTTCATATGTGGTAAACTATGTTGATGCATAATGCATGATTTTATAGCCCATATCTTGGGCATTAATGAAAAATATGAAAGTAGGTTTGGGGTGTCACTAAAGAACCCCCTCCTCACCCCCAACTTAAGTATAGAATTTAAAATACAACATTGCATATGATAAACCTTTTTATTAATGTGCAATAAAAACCTGAAATGGGTCTTCATGTAATTTTCTTTGGTCCCAATCGAGCTAAATGCTTAAGTGCATAACTTCAAGCCTGTAAACAGTAACACTGACTTCTTTATTAACAAATCACATGAGTCAGCATGCACCACATATCTGCTATTTAAATCAGTTGACAAATTCCTGGCTCCATTTCAGTCACCTGGGCTTTTATTCTTGACATAGGCAAAGCCAGGATTTCAACCAAGAAGAATTTTGTGCGTAGAACAGCCTGCAGACTCAAGCAGACTTGTGACCTGCTGTTCACAAATAGGGAAAAATGGTTGGGGAGTGCAGAAGTGGATGGCAACTTGGGCAGCAGCAACTATGAGATGATTGAGTTCAGGTTACTGAGGAAAGGAAGGAAAGAGGGCAGCAGAGTAAGGGCCCTGGACTTCAGAAAAGCAGATTGACTCACTGAGGGAACTCATGGGCAGGATCCCCTGGGAGGCCAGTCTGACGGGGAAAGGAGTCCAGGAGAACTGGCTGAACGTTAAAGAAAGCTTACTGAGGGCACAGGAGCAAGCCATCCCAAAGCACAGAAAGACTAGCAAGTAGGGCAGAAGACCAGCTTGGCTTAGCAGAGAACTCTTTAGTGAGCTAAAACACAAAAAGGAAGCTTACAAGTGGAAACCTGGACAAACAGCAGGGGAGGAATACAACAGTATTGCTTGGGCATGCAGGATTGATATCAGGAAGGCCAAAGCACAAAGGAATTGTAGCTAGCAAGGGATGTGAAAGGTAACAAGAGGGATTTCTACAAGTATGTCATGAACAAGAGGAAAATCAGGGAAAGTGTGGGTCCCTTACTAAATGTGGGAGGCAACCTAGTGAGAAATTATGCAGAAAAGGCTGAAGTACTCAATGCCTTTTTTATCTTGACCTTCACAGGCAAGGCCAGCTCCCAGACTACTACACCTGGCAGCACAGTTTGGGGAGGAGGTGAGAAGCCAACAGTGTCAAAAGAACAGATTAGGGACTATTTAGAAAAGCTGGATGCGTACAAGTCCATGGGGCCAGATGGGATGCACACAAGAGTGCTGAGGGAGTTGGCCAGTGTGATTGCAGAGCTACTGGCCATCATCTTTGATAACTCATGGCAATCAGAAAAGGTCCCAGATGATTGAAGAAGGGCAAATATAGTTTCCATCTTTAAGAAAAGGAAGAATGAGGAACTATAGACTAGTCAGCCTCACCTCAGTCCATGAAAAAATCCTGGGACAGATCCTCAAGGAATCCATTTCTAAGCACTTGGAGGAGAAGATGGTGATTAGGACCAGTCAGCATGGATTCACCAAGGGCAAGTCATGTCTGACCAATCTGACTGCCTTCTATGACACAATGACTGGCTTTGTCGATGCAGGAAGAATAGCAAATGCGATATACCTTGATTTTAGCAAGGCTTTTGATAGGGTCTTCCACAACATTCTTACAAGCAAGCTAAGAAAGTTGGGTTGGATGAATGGACTGTAAGGTGGATAGAAAACTCACTGGACCATTGCTCTTAAAGGGTAGCAATCAATGGCTCGATGTCTAGCTAGCAGCTGGTATCAAGTGGAATGCCTCAAGGGTTGGTTGTGGGGCCGGTTTTGTTCAACATCTTCATTGACAACATGGAAGATGGGATGGAGTGCACTACTATAGGCTGGGGACCAACTGGCTAAGCAGCAGCTCTGAAGAAAAGGAACTGGGGATTAAAGGGGACAATAAACTGAATATGAACCTGTGAGAGGGGCAGCGAAAGCCCCTCTAGGGGGTCCTGGATCCCCACCCCATGCGCCCCGATACCTACCGCAAGGATCCCGATGAGTGGCAGCCAGAAGGAATTGCGGGCGCAGCCTCTGTGATTCAGGAGCTGCCTGCAACTGCAGCTTGGCGAGGGTAGAGCATCTGAGAGCTGTGGGCTGCTCAAATAGCAGCCGGAAAAACAGCTGGGTGGCCGGCAGAGGGAGAAATAGATGCCGTCCGGGAGACACCAGCTGCCGGGAGGGAGATCACCCAGCTGGGGATGGAGGAAGAAGGAGATGCCGACCAGGAGACACTGGCTGCCAGGAGGAAGATCACCCGGCTGAAGGTGGGAGAGGAGGAGCTGAGTAGCGAACAGAGGGCTCCAGCCAGGCAGGGAGGAATCCCTAGCCAGGGGAAACCTGCATTCTCTGGGAACAACCCTGCAGCCCCCACCAGAGAATCCAGGTACGGTGGCGGGAGGCGTTGGCAGGGAGTGGCTACTCCCCATGTGCGGCACGGCGGGGAGACATGAGCAACCCAGTGTGGGAACCACGCACTCCACCACTGATCCAGGGAAGACGAAGAGTGACCCCGGGTTAGCCGGGGGTCTGAGGTGGCCAAACTGAGGAGGCAGATCTGGGAGGGGCACGGGACAGCGGCCCAACCCCACAGTCACCTGGAGCACAGGGATGAGCGAGTCCCCCATCCTTTTGCTTCAGTTTCTTTATTTTTGAGCCATCAAGGGGCACTGGGAGATGGGATCCCAGGGGTTCTTTGGCGGAGTCCAGATGTTTGTTTCAGTTGGGTTCATCAGACGCCCTAGCTAGCCTGAAGACAGGGCAGGCTTACGCGCCCCAGCCAACCTGAAGCCAAGGAACCGGCTGCGGGGAAGGTGGAACTGGCCTGGAAGGCCCAATCTAGTCCGAAGTCGGTGAGTGGGGCGAGAAGGGAGATCATCCAGGAGAAGACCCGCCAAGTCCGGTGTTCATCCGGGCCATGGATGTTGTAAGGGTGAGGTAAAGGGGAGGTTTGGAGCCCCATGAAGAAAGAACCAGGATCAAGACTTCTTCGCTCTTGGGAGCCACCTAAAGGGAACTGCCTCCCCAACAAAGAACATCGAAGACGTGGCAGGTGAGTAGGAGCAGCACCCATACCATCTAGGTGACACCCGAGCCTAAGTTTCACCTTGATGTCGCTTGGAGGCAAGACGCCCATCAAGAAGAGGCCGAAGCCTTATAACACCTACCAGCGACAGAACCAATAGTGTGTCCTTATTGCAAAGGAGGTAAATGGCAGACTGGGCTGTAATAGTAGGAACACTGACAGCAAACCTCTTATTTGACACTGGTGAGACCACACCTGGAATACTGCATCCAGTTTTGGGCTCCCCCCTACAGAATGGAAGTGGACAAATTGTACAGAGTGCAGCAGAGGGCAACAAAAAAGATTAAGGGATTGGGGGACATGACTTCTGAGGAGAGGCTGAGGGAACTAGGCTTATATAGTCTGGAGAAGAAAAGACTGAGAGGAGATTTAATAACCTTCAGCCACCTGAAAGTTGTTCCAAAGAGGATGGAGCTATCCTGTTCTTAGTGGTGACAGATGACAGAACAAGGAGCAATAGTTTCAAGTTGCAGCAAGGGAAGTTTAGGTTAGATAACAGGAAAAACTCTCTCACTAGAAGGGTAGTAAACACTGAAGCAGGTTACCTAGAGAGGTTGTGGAATTTTCATCCTTGGAGGTTTTTATGACTTGGCTAGACAAAGCCTAGGCTGGGATGACATAGCTGGTCCTGCTTTGAGGAGGGGGTTGGACTAGATGACCTCCTGAAGTCCCTTCCAACCCCTATTTTCTATTACTCTATATGAATATTCCAAGGTAATTTGTGAAAATTTTAGAGGGAGATACATTTCCTTAAGATTAGTTATATTTCAAGTTATGAGTCTCACTGAGAAGAAGCCCCATTAAAAAGCCACACAGGGCATAAGAAGATTTTGACCATGGGACTGTTATTTTATTTATGTATTTATTTAGGGAGAGTAGAGAGAGAAAAGGCGGAATGAAACAGAAATCCAAATTCATACTTTACTGGAGATGCATCCATTTACACCAGTTGTAAATTTAGCCCCACATCTCCTCTTATGCAAGTGATACCTAAAGTATTTCCATTAAGATTTGATCTAATATGGAAATTATGTGAGTAAAACATGAACACTTGAAAACAGTGGTGTTTAAGTCAGATTTAAGCATCATCAAAATGTTTTATACAATAATTACAAGGAACATCTACTTAAGAATGTCTATGAAGAATATTCAAAGTGAGTTGACATTTAAAATGCTATATTTATTATTTAAATTATGAAATACAAAACACATGCAAAACACTTCAAACACTGTCAGCTACAGTAATAAGTATGAGATGTCTTCTCTGAATGATTATTATGTGATGTTTATAGTAGACAGTTATGTTGGCAGCATGCCTTCAATAAGGCTTGAAAGTATTAAATGAAGCATCCAACATGCTAAACCTAACACACAATGCACCTAAGATACATTGCTTATACCTTTTATTCATTTCTTTAGATGACTAAGAGAAAAGAAAAGAGAAACGTATTAACAATTTAACAAACATAAGATAATATTTAAGAACAAATAGTATAAAAACAAATTCTACAGCTTTCAGTTGATGTAAATAAACACAGCTCCATTGATTTTATTGGTTTTTTGCTCATTTATCCCAGAAGAGAAGTTATCTTTTCAGGTAATTTCCCTCTGTAAGACCCTGTCTCAATATGTTTCTTTAAGTACATGTGTAGCTTTAAGTATGCAAGCAGGCAATCAAGAAACACTTGTGCTTAAAAAGTTAGGCACACAGCCAAGAACTGTTGCTGTATTAAAGCCTACATCACTGTTACAGTAGGCAATATCATTTTTACATTATAAATATTAAGGTCCAAATGCCAAGACCAAAAATACTGCCCCCCACACTCCAATATATACACACAGCTGCTGATGCTTCATGAGCTTTATACTAGTGGAACCGGGTTTTTTACATTTTGTGGGAGTGCCTCAGCTGCCTTTTTCATTGCACAAAAGGGCTTCAGGATCCAGTCCTCCATCCTTTACAGAAAGGGTCAGGAGACATTTAATGACTATACATGTTAAGAGCATATTAGGAATTAGATACCCTGTCCTCCAAAAAGGCTTTAAGATTTCAAAACCTTTCCAGTTCCATCAGGAAGCAAACAATGTGAATGGTTTTCATGCAAAATGCGAGGGTGGCCCCAGTCCTTCCAAGAATAGTCAATACCTCAGAGATTAGGACATTCATTTTTGGGACATGGGAGAGTCAGATTCAAGCCTCTAGTCTAAATTAACCAGAGGAGGGACTTGAACCTTGACTTCCCACAACCCAGGTGAATGCCCTAACCACTAGGTTCTTGGTGATTGTTTGGTGCGTCTTTCAATCTCTCCTGTTGGAGCTGTTTCACTTAGTAAAAAGAATTATTTCCAAGGGACTAAATAAATAGTTTCCATTGCCCAGAATGCTCTACAGCCCTCCTCTAGAAGCTGAACTGCAGTTTGCATGTAATAGCCATGGGCCAGAGTGGACAAGCAGAATTGGGGTAGTTTCTGCCCCCTTGGAAGCAGGGGCTCTAACTGAAATACCTTCCCTTCCAAAGCATTATTACCCTTCTTGCTGAGCCATCTTCCCTCTTGGTTGCTGTCCTCCTGGCCCTACATATCTCCCCGCTTTTTTGCTTTTCATTTGACCAACCTCAATAGGAAGGACAAAGGGTACTCTGGGCAATGCTCAGCCTATAGAATGGTGGTTAAAGCACTTTGCTGGGAAGCAGATGACACAGATTAAACCCCCCACCCTGTGGATGGGGGTGGCCTAGAATCTGGGTGTACCACTCCCTGGGCATTTGTTCTATCCAATAGACTTTGGTCCAGAAATGGGAGTTCCTTCTCCACTCCAATGCAATTTATTTCTGACTAAGGATTTGGGACACGTTTGGTGTTACATATATGCCTGAGCAGTTCTAACCCCCCTGGGCAGCTACTTGGCCACAGTAAAGTCTACTGAGTATGCACAGATGATGTGCAAGTGCCAAAAACTACAGTTACACAGCTGTGTAAGAGCCACTTCGGTGCAGGAAGGGAAAATAGGACCTGACCTGTAGTTACTATACATAGCATCCAGATTCATAGCCAGAATGGACCATTATGATCATGTAGTCTGATATCACGCAAAACATAGGCCATACAGTGATGCCTGCATCAGGGCCATTTTGAAACTCTAGGTTTCCACTTCTTGTACGCTTCCTTTTGAAACTCCTACATAACAGATATTTACTGTATTTCCTACTTGGCTCAAATGTCTTGTTATCCTCAATGTCAACAATTTGCATTTTTTGCCAGTTCTGATTTCAATTTCCATTTTTTTTTCAAGTTCAGATTTCAATTTCCAGTCCTTATGTTTAGTTTCACCTTTGTTTGCTATATTAATATATCCTTTAGTGTTGGGTATTTTCTTGCTGGGTAGATCATTAAAGCTGCCTCTTAATCTATTCTTCAATAAGATAAGTAGAGTGAGCTTCTCTAATCTTTCATTGTAAAACATGGTTTCCATCCTACAAATCATTCTTAGATTTCTTCTCTGAGCCCTCATGTGACATAAGGGAATGATCCAGCAGTGCTAGATTGGCACACCTGAGACTACAGACTAAATTTATCTCAGAAAATGACAAAGTTCTAAAGAGCTGCCTGGGTCTGAGTATGTTATATAAATGCCTTATGAGACTCATGCTATTTAGGTTATTGTCCTGAACATAATTCATACTTACATTTAGGAAACTAGCCTCATCAAGTTCTTCAGTTTCCCTTACAGTTGTACCCAAAGCCTCCTTGGCAGCATCAATAATCTGTTGAAAGTTAACCATCTGTTCATAGAGATATTCCATTTTCATCTTCTTCACCTCCTCAAAGTTCTCTAACTTCTCGTCATATTGCGCTGTCACTTTCTTAACCATGTCTTCATTTTGATCTTCTAAAACCCGTTCACTTTTCTTACAGTTTTCCTGGAAAATAAAAAAGCATGCCAATCTGAGAAATAAAACTACATCAGTCAACAAAATGTCCACGGAAATCAATATAGACTATGAGAGCAAATACCTTTCCTTCCCATACCACTTATTCGTGTGCTCCAAAGTAGAGGTGCTGTACTCACCCAGCCCCCTGGGCTGAATCTAAACCATAGAGCTCCTCAGAAGCCAGATCTGGACATGGCAGCAGGGCAAGTGACAGCAGCGATTGTGGTGACTAAGCACAGCCATTGCTCGTATTCTACTGCTGACATGCTTTCACAACAGGGCTCCATACCCCAGACTGCAGTGGCGCCCCCTTCCCTCCACCCCCGCTCGCTACCATCCTGAATGCTTGGCCCCTCTATGAGCCCCATAGGCCAGGTGATACAGCTCCATGGGCTGCATCCAGCCCATGGGCTGCATATCTGGCCCTCCTGCACAAAATGATTCAGGTTGCTGATTTGAAGCATGTAAGGTTTGAAAGTTTTGTTTTAAACAGAACTTAGACTAAAAACACTGAGAGAATAATTTGCTTATCCAGTGCCTGACAATCACATAATACATGTAATGGTCACTGGGATCATTATCGCAGCACTATATTATGAAGCAAATTTATGTTTATTTTTCACAGTTAATCGCTCACAGTCAGAGGGGCTAATGTAAGGACTAGTAAAACAGCCCATTCCAGTGTTAACCCCAGCAAGGAACTACGACAAATCTTTTCAAAGCATTGTCAATATTGTAAAGGAGAAAAAAAACACAGTAGTGATATCTATGTTGGACTTACCTCAACAGAATTAAATAGGGATTCTATCTCACTAACAAATTCCTCAATTTTCAGTGACTTTTCTTGTAATGCCACCAAAAATTCATCTAATTGATCCTGAAATTAAAAAAAAGTTGCAGTCACTTGAAAATGTGCACTTTATAAAATCCATACAAAATGTATGTTAGATAAATATTTTTGTTTCACCACTAGATGTAAACGGAATAACTTTTTCAGTTAATTTTGCAGTGCCATCGTGGCTAGTGAGGCCTATAGGAAAAACACAAAACCATCTTCAAAGCATAACTTGGGCTTGATCCTGACAGGCGCTGAGAGCTCATTTGTGATATTCAGGACCCACAAGTCAGGCTTTGCTGGAAGGTCAGGACCTTAAGGCATCTCACAGAAATACTAGATAGACTGCAGGACATGGTCCAGAACAGAAGAGGGTAATTGGTGGGGGACTGGCTTGCTGCTTATCTTGGAGACTAAATCATATTGAGCATAATCATAGCTTTTTCTGAATTTTGCTGGAAAATTATGCTTGATATTTACTGATAATGAAAGGCCTGAATCAGTTGTTTTATGTGTGTAAACAATGCAGAAGGAGGCTTGTGAAACAAAGTAGAGCTGTCTTTTCTGCAGCAGTTTTTTCTTGACCTTCTTTGAGAGTAAACTGTCCATCTACGCATATGCAATTTATGATTCATAACTGCACTTGGTTTTAATCAAGTTGTATAAATCTAGAAGGAAGGTTAAAGGAAGGTTAGTAGCAGCCTCCTATAATTTGGCAATTTTTTATAGCCAAATCTGTTTGAAAAATGTGACCTCATGTGACCTCCATGAATTATAAATATCATATTAGATTGTAAAATTGAATTCTATATTTATAACTATTTAGGGCTGATCAGTGCAACTCCAAAGTGAACTTCTGTTTGTCAAGATAACCTATAAAAATTGGCAGAGGCCATGAATACCTCATTTCATTTAACACAAAGTTTTGCTCCAATGCTAAAACTGAGGAAATTCATATTTTGTTGTCCTGGTATTTTCTGAGAGATTATATATATATGAGTAACAAGAACCATGCATGGACAGTTTCAGAGTAACATGAGTTTCACTGCTAGAAATCACATGAAGTCAGATCTGTTTTGAAGCCAGATTTATTTATTGACTCTCTCTCAAAGTCCATAACCAGGGAATGACATAATGGGATAAATTAACTCCACTGGCTTCACTGTAGCTCCAACAGGGATGACTGTGATCTGACTTTATGACTCACATTGGTATATTATGATCATACATACTTGTAGATTAAACTACCATATAGTAAAGATAAAAACAGGGTACATGTGCAGACTAGACAAATAGAATAATTAATAGCTTAAAACTTGAACAGAAATATGTCACATGTTCTTATAGCTATACTTTTTGTTTCTTAGTTATGAGTGACTGTTATAAACATAGCTTACCTGAAGACTATATCTGAGGTCTATTTTCAGACCAAATTCAAGGATTATATATGAATGCTTTAGTGCAAGTTAAACACATGCCAAGAAGTCAGTATGAGATGCAAAATAACATGAGTTAAAGGAAAAATCATTATCAAAGCTGATTCTGTGACATGGCCCAGATTTTTTTATTAAAATTATGTGTAATTTTGTAATTACATGCACTTGTGTGTGTGCCAGAAAAAATAGAGTTCAGTTTTTAGACACTTGATTTAGATTGCAGAGCTGGCAACTAGAAAAAGATGTATAAAAAATAACTAGAGAAAGGTCTCTACTCTGCTTTCAACTAGATTAACAAAATTAACAAACGACATGGAGTAAGTGAGAGCTCATAAACATGGGACTTCATAATGCCATATTGGCAACCACTTTTCAGGGCAGAAGTGGAATTCAAAGACAAGTATCTAGAGAAGTGAAAAGTGTTGTAGCTAGCATTTATTTTGAAAATATATTTTGGGGGAAGATACACAGTATATGAATGTATGCATACCTTTCAGAATGTTAGACTCTTGCCCTGGTAAGAATACCCTTGCTAGATTTCTGAATTACTTGAATTTTAATTTCATGCTCATTTTTAATTAGTTTCAACATTTTTAAATTGATCTGAGAATTCATGTCCTACAGGCTAGATGCACATTGTACAAAGCTTTGAAACTAACATAAATATAGGTTCTGTATCAGGTGGTTTTCCTTCCCTATGCTCAAGAAAATAAGGCCTTGTCTGTTCTACTGCTAAGCTGTATCAAGGAAATGAATTAAACAATATGGGTTGACTGGTGAATGCACACAGGACTTTAGCCACATTTTGTGACAATGCTAAAGCCGTTGACTAATCAATGTGCTTAAGTGGGACAGGTGACAATATCAGTTCAACTAGTGTTACTAAAATTCTCTCTCTCTACAAAAGAAAAAGAACTATACTAAGGATAAGGCTAAAATTCAGAAAGCTCTGTGAGACCTGCTAGAAAAATAAGGCCACTTAAAAATGTGAAATAAAATTATATCAGCGTGGTAAGCTCATGATTCTAAGCTACGTAACTGCAATATATTCTTCCTTCTAGGCTGGACTTTAAGAGGGAGCATTTTTTTGTGTTCTGTTCTGGTTAATGCAACAATCATCTTGATACCAGTGTGGGCTTGGCCATGGTCTTCCATGATTTTAGTGAAAGTTTTGCACTGTTTATTTCTTTTACAGCTATTGTAATATCAGGGCATGTTTCAGAGCTTAAACGAACCACTGCTGCCAGAAAGGGTGTTAAACCCATCTCAACCTCTACCATTTCCAATGGGAGACAATAATTTTTTTTAAACAGACCAAAAATCAACCCAAGAAACACTTACATCTTTCTTTGCAGTCCTATAGAATTAATTAACCAAACTTTGAACTCTGAAGTGGTCTGAAGGGTGATATGTTCATGTTGGTTTAGCCTATTTAAGAGGTAAACTCAGTTGCTGAAGGTTACTTGCTGGAGCTGCTGAGTGAAGGTTCAAGTAATCTAAGGAGAGCACATCACAATAATCCAGCCTGACAATCAGAAAGACGTGGACAATTCTAGCAGGGTCCCCATCGAGGAGAAAACACTCCAGTATGAGATAACATCTAAAAACCAAATCTAATTGCATATTTTCTACTGAGCAGTGAATAAATAGTAATAAACAGTAACAGTCAGTCCATGATTTTATCTTGGAAAAAGGAAAAAAGATGAATGATCCATATTTTAAATTAGCCAAATAAACAACATATTTGTGTTTGACTTTGAAAACGGCATCGCAAATGCTTACCTTGATCTCATTTGCAGCAGTGTCTAGTGATGTCACATCATGCTCTTTATGCTGCCCAAAAAGCTTGTCAATAGCAGAAATAGGGCATCTGCACTGGTAGCAATATGTATCAATTTGGGCCTTCTTCATGTCTTTTTGTGGACTCTCACTTGCAGGTATGTCTGCTGATGATTGTTCAGGCTCCATCATCACAAACCCTGAATCTTCGCGGTCAGTGGGTGTAACTTGCTCTGCCTCGTTTACAAATTCATAACTATCACTAATATGCTCAGAAGATTCCTTGTCTTCAAATAATAATTCTTCATGTGCCAATTCAGAGGACAATTCATCTTGCAATTCTTCTTGGTTAATCACTTCATAATCCATTGATTCAGCAAGATCTTCATAAGCACCAAAGCACTGCTTTGCTCCTGAACTGGGCTGAACGTTATCTAGATTGCAAGGAAAGGGCTGTGTGTCTGATTCACCTAACACATAATCAGATCTTACTCCTGGTTCTGAAAGTCCACACTTAGCTATTCCTAGGTCATGCTGTGCTATACCATCTGTAACCTTTCTTTGGCCTCTTTGCTCGTGTGCCAGCTCATCTGTGCCTATTAGATTTTCTCCTCTGACTTTTTTTTTGTTCATATTTTCAAGGTGATTGTACTCTAAAGCATGTGCCTCCCTTGTCGTGGGATGCAGTTGCTTATCTAAATGTGAAATTATTCCATCTTTCTCTAGTTTCTCTGTTTGTTGAAGAGTTTCAAGATGGGAGAGATTTTCTTGGACATACTGATTGCCTTTACTCCCCTCAGCTGGTGTTCTGCCATGAGGTAAATCATTATCCATTTTGTGAACTGTTATTTCATGTTGCTTTTTCTGCTCATCTGTCAGGTAAGTTACTTCCTTTGATTTATTTAGCACAGATGCTTCATCTTGATGGGCAATTTCCTCAGAATCTACTACTTGACTGGACTCTTGATGACTTGTTTGACTTGACAGTTCCTGGTTAGCTTCTGCAGATGTATTTTCTTCTTCTCTTCTTTGATGAGTAACATCGTTTCTAGCATCTGAAATATTTAGTTTGCTTCCAAAAGGAATTGCATAGGTTGGTTTACAAATTGTTGCTTTAATATCACTAACAATCTGGGCTTCTTCTTTTCTCAATACATCTGTCTCTCTCTCCACTATTTCTCCTTCTGACATTTTGGCAGACTCTTCAACTGAAATGTGAACAGATTGCGGTTCCTTTTCAACTGCCTCACAAACACCCTCACTTCTGTCCTCTAAAACTGTCATTTGGCTTGAAATATCTTTGCTACTAGACTGATCTTTTGGAATTTGCTCCTTCTGAAACCCAGCCATATTACTTGGAATATCATCTATAAGAATATATTTTTCAAAATATATTCCAGTTCCATCATCTGTGTCAGAATTCCTACTAGGAAACGATGCATCAGAATTCATACTTTCTTCATCGGAAGGAGGTTCATTGTTACCTTTTATGTTTTCTCCCACTGCTTCTTCATACAGGTCTTTGTATAAAAATGAGAGAGCAGGTGGCTCTTCTAAAAGCTCTGGGTTTATCATGGTGACTGATGTGGGAAATAACAGGGATCGTTCTAACACTCCTTCTTCTGTATCAAACAAGGGTGTGCCTGTGGACTTTCGTTCATCTTCTACATTTACAATTTTTTTACTGCTAATGTCAACGGATTTTTGCTTAGGAAAAGATTTCTGAACATCTGCACATGACCGTATTTTGTTGTCTTCTTCCACAGTTCCATAAAAGGCTTCATCCAGATAATTAAATAGGGAATAACCATCTTCCAAAGTATTAACATCAGATCTTTCATTTAAAGAGACAGCTTCTCCCATTGGTTCCTTAGGACTTTCCATTCCAGCAGGAAATGAGTGTAGTTCCTGAGGAGATGACTCAGTAGGAGATCTGTCATCAATCCGAGTATATTTTTCAAAATAATCCATATCAATGCTACTGTTATTAGGATTCAAAGCAGTCTCGCTATTATTTTCTATCCTTTTTGAAATTTCCTCTTTTGTTTCTATGGCTTCCGGAGCATCTTCATTTTTGACCAGTTCTTTTTGTTCATTATTTTGACTTCCAGTGTCACTAGCCACTGAGCTTTCTGAAATTTCTGTAGTTGTTCCACATACTGAAGCTTCATGGCCAGCAACTGTATCATCACTATAGTCAACTAGCTGTCTTTTCAATAAGGTATTTGTTTCCAAATATTCCAGCTTATCAGGCATGTGTTTGCTTTCTTCTTGATCAACGGAAGAAATGACTGGGGGAACATGAATATTCAATATTTCGTAACCTTCTGAAATTATATTAAATATATCTTTTTGACTGTCAAGTTCTGGAGCGCACTTGCATTCTACTTCAGACTTCATATGGTGTGTTAATTCCTCTTCCCTTTGCAGACCATGTTCAGATTCTTTTGATGCTTCCTCTACATTCGATGAAGATTGGGTTTCTTCTGCTTCTGCAGAATAAGATGGCATTTCTAGATTCTGTGTTTTAATAAAAGGGCTAAGTAAAGTGGATATTGGCTCTGCTGAAGCAAAGCTGTCCACTTCAGCTGAAGAAGGCTGATGTTTTTGCATCGCTCTTTCATCAAGAAGGTCTGGTGAACCACCTGTTGATTGCTCCAATGACACATCTTCCGTGCCATCTGAATAAGGCTCCATTTCATGTCTGTTTGTTTCTTCATTACAACTGACTGAAGCGATTTTTGACTGCTGCACCAACATGCTTACTAGGTCAGGCAAAGATGATGGAATATTTTGTTTCTCTTCTTCATCAAAGAAACCAAGCGAATAAGACTTGGACTCTTCCAGCCATGTATCAGGATTTGCAAGTGAATTAAACGGAATATTTTGTTCACCCACTTCCTTAATAGTTGTACTTGACTCTTCTGAAACCAGGTTTATCATTTCCTGCTCACCAGGCAGCATTTGCTGCTGAATACTTTCAGCAACGAGGCTTGGAGAATGAGCACTTAACTGTTCTGACAAATATTTTGTGTTCAATAAATCAGCTTGGACTTCTTGCTTATCTTCCATTGCTGTAGTTTTGGGTAAATAAGGTTTAACTTCTTCTAACTCTGTTTCACCCAAGTCTAAATGTTCAAACTTTGACTGTGCTATAGGTAAACATGGCTGAATAACTCCATACTCTGTTTTTTTCATGGAATGTGCTAAATTTGGCTGTTCTGACTCCATTTGTGTGGTTTCTTGTTCCTCTGCTTCATCAGTGAGGCATGTTAATTTTTGAACATCCAGTTCCCGTTGCTTAGTTACAGGAGAATGGAATCCCGAATTTTGCATCTCCAAATGTTTAGACTCTAGTTGGGCAGTTTCTTCTCTCTCCTCTTTGCCACAGGAATCAGATAAATTGGAATACTCACAGAGCCCTGAAGTTACCTGTGAAGCAAAATGACTTTTTTGTATTTCCATTTCATCGATAGGGCATGATCTATCTAACTGTTCAGATGCCAGTTGCTCAGCTGTAGTGGAATAAGACTTAATTTTTTGCTCCTCTGCTTCCTCAATTGAATCTGATAAATATGGATGTTCAGAGACTGACTGAGTAATTACAGGGGAATGGGGCTGAATAACTTGCTTCTCTAAATGTCCAGACTCCAACTGTGTGGTCTCTTGCTCCTCTGTTTCATCAGAAGAATTTGATACATCTGGAGGTTCACACTCCAATTGTGTAGTCAGAGGTGAATAAAACTGAATTTCTTGCTTCTCCACTTCATCCACAGAACGGGATAAAACTGCATGATCCAGCTCTGATTCTGCAGTGGTGGATGAATAAGGATCAACATCCTGCTTTCTTGTTTCAGATAAAACTGAATGTTCAGACTCAGACTGTGTAGTCATGGGTGAGTAAGACTGACTTTCTTGCTTTTCTGCCTCCTCCACAAGATGTAATGAAACAGAATGGTCAGACACATATTCTGGAGCTACAGATGAATAAGCTTGAGTTGTTTGCTGCTCTGATTCAGTTACAGATTCTGCTGAAATGGGCTCTGTGGTCATGAATGAATAAGGCTGAATTTCTTGCTGCCCTACTTCATCAATTAGGCATGATGTAACAGGTAGTGACTGGTCTGACGTCTCAATTATAGTCTCAACTGGAGCTGGCCGCATTTCTTGTTTCTCAGCTTTATCAGTAGGATCTAATGGAACAGGCACTGATGGTTCTAATACTGAGTTTATGGCTGTAGGTGAACATGTGGGAACTTCCTGCTTATCCCCTTCATCTGTAAGGCAGGGTGAAATGGACTGTGACTGCTCTGATGTCTCACTTGAAGTCTTAGTTGGAGACTCTGTTTCTTTTTCCACAGGATTGTCAAGAGGAACACTAGAGTTTGAAAACTTCTTAGATCCAGGAGTCAGTTGGCCACGTTTTATATTGGGAAGTGAAGCATCTTTCCTAGCAGCAGAAGCTTTTTCAAGAGTCACTGAAGAGGGGGAAGAAAGGCTTTGTTTTAAGAATCCCTTCTGCTGTCTTTGCTCCCTTTTTGTATCTGATAGTATGGGTGGATCTTTACTACGTGTCTTTCGGAACAGTTTTGGGGGTGTTGCTTCTTCTGTAATCAAATTGAACTTTTGAATTCTAGCCCATACTGATCCTCCAGGGTCTGGCCCTCCCTTCTTCTGTTTATGTTCTTTGCCCATTGACTTTGAGAGGAGTGGGGTTGGTTCCTCTGTAATGTTTACTGGATCTTCTGTATCTTTTGAAGTTTCTACTTCCATAGCTTTTGCTTCTGGTTCAGCACCACTTAACTCTGTATCATTTACTGGGGTAACACTTAAGTCTTGCATTCCAGAGAAGTCATGCTTTTTACTACCCTGGCCTTCCTTCAGGTTTGAACGCAACAGTGTCCTATCGGATGATCTACATATCTTTTTCTGGACAGTCTTACCTTCATCCATGATAAAGATAACTTTCCCAGGAGGAGAATCTACAGATGAACGTTCCAGACTATAAAGATAAGAAGTAGTACTAGCTTCAGAGGCCCAGGGAGCAGAACATCTGCTTGAGCTGGTTTCCCAAGTTATTCCACTATCTTCACTTGGAACTGTTACCATAGAAAAGGAAGGATTGGAGACAATGTATTGTAGCTTGGGTTTCACCTCTGCATTTTGGATAAGGTCCTTTAAGCTATAAAAAAGTAGGAACATTTATTATTACAATACATCAATTATTGGTAAATAAAATATTAGTAAAATACGGTAAAATCACATGTATTGCTGTGGGGTCTTTTGATTATGGTGTCAGATGTGCTGGCTGTGTTTTGCCTGTGTTGTTAGCAAGACCTGTTTCTATTTTGTGTTCACTGGTCAGCACAGAGTATTTCTGAGGGTGAGACTGGTGAGACTGAGAGTTGGGAAAAATGAGCAGTTTGGAAAAATTCTTTCAAGGTGCAGTCTTTGTAAATAGATATAATTATTTACCAATCTTTCTTTTAGGTTCCAGTGTGGGGTGGTACACAGCAGAGAGGGGTGTGAGGTCAGTGGAAGTTTTCAATAGGAGTTAGATACCTAAATATTTTTGAGAATATGGGTCTTAGGGTGCCCTCACTTTTGAAAGTGTCAAATGAAGGCAAATTTATTTGACTTTTAAAACTTAACAGCTGGCTTTAAAACGTAATGAAAGATAACCTTTCATCAAAGATCTGAGTATGAAACAAATTATCAGTGGGTATGTCTACATGCACCCCTGATTGTGCATTTGGTACTGCACAATCATTGAATATTTGCTTTAGCAGTACTGCGCAGTCCTGGCTGCGCATGGTTATTTTTAGATGATATGTCACTAAAGTGACATAGCATAGGTGTCATGGTTTGTGCCCACCAACACTATGTTGCCATAGCTCATCGTTATAGTGATGTAGCGTCTTGTGTAGATGCACCCAGTGTCACAGAAGGACAAGGCCATGATAGTCTAATGCCTAGGGGAGTAATTTAAACTGGTGCTAAGTAGAAGTACAGTTCTGTCGTTCAAATTTTATATAATTGTATATCTACTTTGCCCATCTATAAATGACTACACAACATGTAAGGCAATGGAGAATCTCTAGCTTATTGCTACTTCTTGGTTTCCTTCAACTTTTAAGCACTTTATGAAGTTTAATTTGTTAATTTAAGTCAGTTCTTGGTTAAAGAACAGCATATGAAAATGTTATTCAGAAAGACAAACACAGGATTTTGGAAGGAGTCCCCACACATCCTGAAAATGATTAAGTACAGTATTTTATAAAACTAAGATTTTCATAGATTTCATAGACATTAGGGGCTGGAAGGGACCTCATGAGATCATCAGGTCCAGCCCCCCACCATACGTGGGAAGTCAGTTGGGATCAAGTGACTCCAGCAAGAAATAAACCCAGCTGCTTTTTGAAGGAGTCCAGAGTAGGTGCTTGCACCACCTCTGTGGGGAGTTTGTTCCAGACCCTGGACACATGCACCATAAAGAAATTTTTTCTTACATCCAGTCTAACTTGGCCTTCCAGGTGTTTATGGCCATTGGACCTTGTTATCCCTTGGGGAGCTCTGGTGAACAGCTGTTCTCCCAGGTCCTGATGTACCCCTTATGAAGTTGTAGGCTGCCACCAAGTCCCCCCTGAGCCTTCTCTTCTTCTGACTGAAGAGTCCCAAGTCCCTCATCCTCTCCTTGTACAGCCTTCCCTCCAGGCCTTAGATCATAAGAGCAGCTCTCCTCTGGACTCTCTCAAGCTTCTCCACATTCTTCCTGAAGTGGGGGGCCCAATACTGGACACAGTACTCCAGCTGTGGTCTCACCAGGGCCGAGTAAAGCAGTAGGATGACTTTCCTGGTTTTGCTTGAGATGCATCGGTGGATGCACGCCAGAGTTTGGTTAGCTTTGCCTGCCACTGCATCACATTGGTGGCTCATATTCATCTTGTGGTCAGTGAAGACCCCCAAGTCTCTTTCGGTCGTGGTGCTATTTTAATAGATATTTTTGTGCTATAAATGGTAGTTATTAGATAAGTGCGTTATTTCAGTGAAAACCTGCAGAATCATTTTATCTACATCTTTACAAACTGTAGTGACAAAAAAGATAATCCCAATTAAGAACACAACACTAATTTCTGATGCATACTAGAGAAGTACCAAAAGTTACATCCATTTATTTCAATAAGGAAATTTGAGAGGTAGCATAGAAAAAGGAAATGGCTACCAACAAATACTCAGCATCAAGATTTTTCACACCAAGATCAACATCAAGATCCCTAACAAACTCCCTCCAGAAAGGAAAACCACAGAGAAGGAAAGGTCATATCCTTTGTTGGCCATCTTGCAATTGTAAAGAACTGAAGAAGCCTAGCACCATAACCAAGCAGTTGACTGAAGGAAATCAATCATCGCCACCAAAAACATCATCAGCTTCAATACAACAGGTCCACTGAAGCAACTATGAATGCTCCAAGTCCACTTCACAGGAGAAAGCAACCTCATCTGCACAAGATCCATGAACAGAGAGAAGCATTCATACCTTATCCACTTTTATTGGACTAAGATAATGCTAAGAACAGAGATATGAAAGACAACTTACCTGTGACAATTATATTAAGGGACTCCAGAGTCAGAGCCTGCTGAATTTATCATACAGATGGACAAAAACTTGATACTATGGGGATGCTGAAGATTAACAAGTCTATCCATTGGTAGGAAGTGATTATAGAAAGCCTGTAAGCAACAATTGCATTTACTTCACAAATACCTTGAATGTGTGGCAGAAGGCAAACATCTTAAAGTAGAAAAAGAAAAGAATTCCCAAAGGTATGCAAGAAAAACCTCAAACTCTAAAAACTGTAAGTATGTAGACCCAGTTTTTAGAGAATACTGTCAAAATAGCTGTATGTTGTACAGCTATCCAGGACTCTTGTATGCAACAAGAGTCCTGGATAGAGCTGACCATAATTCCATTTTGTACTGACTTTCAAGTGTCAAAATATGTTTTCATTCTGCAATCAGATGAACAAAAACTGTTCAAATAGAAGATGTACTTACATATGTATATGTGTTCGTACCTACTTCCATCCCAAACCAGGCAGATCAGGCACTTAAGTATCTACCCAAACAGGCAGATAGATGCACAGCCTCTAGTATGCACATAGGAGACTTCTCTTTTTCTCCTGCTGGCTCATGTGAACAGACACACAGACACTTTTTGACAAAACATATTTTGCTATAATAAAAGCAGCAATTCTAGACCTTCATGCAAGATGGTAAACTCACAGTCTTCCTTAGATAAAATTATCAGTGTTCTGGTTTTTCTTAGATGTCCCAATAATGCCAGGAACTTCATCTAGCAAAACCAGAATGTCCTTTTCCAATTAATCAACTATATGTTTAATCCTATAACTATAGTTATAACTATGTACCCATAGAATTCTTGCTAAAGCCACATTGGTTACCAACCTGAATTTGTTCTGTGTCTGCCAAGAACAAACAGTCCCAAGGAAGTAGGTTTCATCATGATAAATAGAGTTGGGAGTGAAAAGTCAAAGGTGTCAAGCTGTTCCTTTGCTTAAGCTGAATATTAATGATGCATGTTTGATGTTTCATGACAAACTCATTCAGAACACTAAGTAACTGGGAAAAGTCCTACACTCTGTGAGATAAGCCCAAGTCAGTAATGGCAATAGCTGACAGTAACATCACCAATCTGCTTTAAGTGCATTGCAGTGGAACACTTGAACCCTGCAGTAGGCAGTATGGTGTTAACAAGCTGAGGACATCCCTATCAGCTCACCTAAGAACATCTCTTTTACATCAGGTTTGACAGGAAAAATCAGATTAATTTGGGCTGACCAGGAGAAAGTCCATCGATAGCTTCCATGTTGCAAAGGAGCTAGGAGGTAACTGGAAGCTAAGGCCTGCTAGAGTCACACTGTGACAGGGTAGGCCAGACAGAGAGTTAAGCAGATTTATTACTAGTAACACAGTGGTGGACATTGAAGCAAGCACCCCAGTCAGGCATGCCTGAAAAAAAGAGGGCTGCAAGCTGAGCTCAGCAAGGTCAAAACTGGCTTTTGGTTTGTTTTGTGTTTATGTTGGATGTTGACCTGGTGACTCATTAATCCAGAAGGGCTTGAACTCTCTCGGTACTCCAGCTAGCTGGTTAACCTGCAACCATAACTGAAGTGCCCTGAAGACTGAGGAAACCAACAGAGCTGATGCCACACCATGAGGGATATTTTTAAATATTCCTCATGGCACCACAGGCATATTTTTAAAACATGGACTCTTGTCTTCAGTATACAAGGTCATGACCCTAAAATGTACCACCATGGAAGCTTCCAAGGTTCTGATTTGACCAGTTTAATAAAACTGATCCTTGTAGAGAACCACAGTAAAAATAAATTCTGATTGTTATATGACATGGCAGCATTGACAGCAGTGAATCCTGTATAGGCAATGAAGTAGAGACAAAAACATCAGAAAAAACTCTACTGTATGTGGACCATAAAATTATCGTTTCCCAGAGTCTACTCTTCCGTACATGCATATGCACACACATTTATGATCAAGTTAAATGCATGATCTCAGGTTTTGTAGCAAAAAGTCTGAGCAGACCTAATAGAGTCATCATTTGCAGGACTGACAACAAAGGAAACAGACTCCACCCATCTACAACTATTGCATATACATCCACTCAAGAAATGAGGTGGTGAGGGAGACCTTAGCACTGTGCTCAAACCTCGGCTTCCAGCAGGCTCAAAAGTGGCGACTTGGAGCACTCTTAGGGCATTATACTGCAGGGCATTTCCAATAGTGGCATCCACAGAGCTGGAGTGAGTGGGCAGGGCTTATTTCCTCAGAGATGTGACTGAGCAGTGTGGACATACTCTGTCTCTCCAACGCCATATAATATCTGTCCCACAAACATGCACCCACAAGTATAAGCAATGATATGGATAACACACATTCTTTAATCCTATTACTGTAAACAAAAGGATCCTGGCATATTCAGCTGCTGTAGTGAGGGTTTTTTTTAATGTATTTAATAATAAAAGCTGTCTTGTCAAATGTATTGTCAGTGCAGTATGGGTCTGCAGACCCAGGCTCAAATTTGGACTGGAGCAGCCTTACCTGTTGCATATTGCTATCAAAGTAACACACACCATATGTCAA